TTATAATGCTATAACTTATTGAAAAGTGTATTGATCAATATAATTTTTTTATGGGAAATACTATTTTTTAATAATCCCTTTTTCATTCGACATACTTTATCTTAATCAGGATATTAATAAGGAACTAGCAGTTTATGAAGCTTTTGGAATAATCCACCAATTTTTTAAAATTAAACACTATCTAAAGATTTGCATCGAAGCGTTTTTTTTTGATAGTGATTTTAATCACTGTCAGATATCATTATACTTGATCCAACTATGCCACGTCACCACTGTGCCGCGACCCCCCTGTGCTGGGTTTTATTTAATTGACTTAATTATTGGAATGACACAAAATTTGGCATACATCATGAAATTATTAAAAATTTTAGGAGAGATGATTTTTGTTTCAGATAAATTAGAATTAGGTCAGTTTATAGCCAAAAAATTAAGTCGTAAATCGTAAGTTTTTGATCCATAATTATTGTTTTGAAAACTTTTTTACTTAAAATTACCATAATTTTTAAAAAAAATAGATAAATTAATAAAAAAAAAATTTTAAATACTGTAGGTATTTCCCTTTAAGTAATTTTTTTTTTAAATCTAACCCTTTACCTGATCACAAGTGAGAGTGCTTCAAAGTAACAAATTTACATGAAATTAACATTTTCAACTTAAAATTGGAATTTTATATTATTTATTTTAATATTATGAAGTACTTATACTATAAATATTTTAAATGAATTTATATAGTTTGTAAATTGATAAAAACTATTGATGGGTTTTTTATCAGATGAGAATATCTGGATCTTTAATATTTGATTAATTGTAACAATATAAATAAATAAGTCAATTTTTTTAATTAAAATATAATTTTATAAAATAACTCGTAATGCTTGCATTGAAATCCTCTATTAATTTTTCGCCTCTTACGGCAGAATAGTTAACAACTTTTGACTGTTTAATGATTAATTTTCCCTATTGGTACCCACTTGAGTTAACCCACTGAGAAAGGTTCACAACAAAAAATGTATTTATTTTTATTTGAACTTAAGTCTCGTCGTTCACGGTTATACCTTCATTATGTAAGAATGAAAAAATTGATATCAAATTTTTTAGTGTTAATAAAAATATTTTTCATATCTAGCTATAAATTGAAGGTAGCTTCCTCCCAACCCTTAATCCTGGATATGCCACAGGTCACGAGGCAAATTTCCTTATAACACTTTATCAAATTTATCCATGCATTAATTTTAAAATTTGTATTTATTTATCACAAAAAAAGTAAAAAAATAATTAATTCAAAACTTATGAATACTTAAGTATTCAATGCAGACAAAAAAGGTCATCACAATTAATATTTATTATAAAATTATAAAAAAAATTTGTTTACCTCCCTCCCCTAGTAATATAATTTTTTGGGAGTGCAAGATTGATTTGTGCCTATACATCCAAAAAAAAAATTTATTAATTTATTAATAACAGCTATAAAATGATGCAGAGTATGTTATTTAAATTATTTTGGGGAAAAGTGATAACAATCAAAATTATATGATTAGTGATCACAGAATAAAGATATGTTAACTTAATGATAACTGGAAAATTAATAATTATTCAATAGTCTATGTATTTCGGATTAAATAAAATAAATGAGTTTTAATCAATTAATAACTCATTTAGTTATCAACTAGTTCATTATCTTGTATAGTTAAAAATTTACTCAAAACGTTGTAAATTTTTCATCGAAAATGAAAACGCATAAATAATCTTTTTTCTTTTGGCTATGGAATCAAATTATAAATTTCAAAATATGAGTTCCGATTCAGATTCTAAATCAAGTTCATTAAATTCAAAAATCGAACAAGAATCAGTAAGTTAAGCTAATATTTTAAGTAGTTATATAGAACATTTTCATATTTATATATAGTAAAAAAAAAAAAATAAAAATTTGTCAGTTAATTATATTATAGTCAAACTGTTTCATACCAAATTTTAACTTTGATTATTACATCATTTTTAGTAAAACGAGTTATGTATAATAAACTATTTTTATTTGTTTTAATCTATAGTTAATTATTTATTTCTAATATTGTCTTAAAGACTATATGTTTTTCTATTATCATATAATCAACATTATACTATCATATTAGTTTATGTCTTTTTTTTATTTTAGCGATCAAATTCTCCTATTAAAAGCCATCAATCTAATAGTTCAACAACTAATGAAAATGCTTTTATTGGAGAAATTAAATTAAAAAATAAGGTAAATTGAATGTTTTGTTTACTGTTTCATAATTACTAATCATTTAATTACTTTTGTAAGGTTTCAGATATAACCGTTTCTAATCGCTCAGATGATCCTCCACTACTACCAGGTGAAAAAGTTCAGGGTGTAGCTAGAGATGTCACATATCTATGTCCATTTAGTGGTCCAGCTAGAGGTTGGCTTTCTGTAACCAATTATAAACTTTACTTTAAAAGTTTAGATCGTGATACTCAGTTAATAATTGAAGTACCATTAGGAGTAGTTAGTATATTTCTTTTTTAAATATATTTACAATTATAAATGATCAAATTTATATATATATATATATATATATATATATATATATATATATATAAGATAATCGGTTTATCATAAACCACTCAATTACTCACAAAATAAATACAATATTGAGAAAAAAAATGTTGGTTTGTTTAGTTACATATATTTTCTAATGTATCGGCCATAAATTATTTTTAAGTATCATATCTTTATAACATATAGGGATGTCAGCTTTATTTTTTCAAATGACAAATTGCTAATGTAATAAATAATGATATTATTTGAGAAAATGACTGGTCTAGAACAATTTTTGACCAGTATTTTGAAAGTTATTATATGAGGTGAAATATTGTTTAAAAATAACATTTTGTTATTTTTATCATTAGTCATTTTGCGGCAATACATTTCTTTCCACCTATGTATAAATTATAATATATGTTAATAACTTACTATACTGGTCCAACAGTTATTATTGACTAGTCTATTTTATCTATTTTATAAGCTAGTTAAATATGTATATTGCCATGTAAATAATAAAGTTGATTACCCTACATGTTATATGGGATAATTCTAAAAATTAATTAATAGTTAATAAGTCAAGAAATATATGTAACAAAAAAATACCAAAACATATTTATTTAGAAGGGGGAACAGGTGATTCAAAACAAATAGAAGATTTTTTTTGAAAAAAATCTAAAATATGTGTTAACAAAAGTTATGAACAAAAATAATGTCGTTTTATAGTACCTTATTCATAAACATTTTTTGTACCCCACCCATTATAAATTTCTAAATATGCCACTGTTTGTCATTATTGTATTTATTTTGAGAGTAATTGAGTGGCTTATGATACCACCCCAATCACATTCTATATATCTGTGTATTTAGATACACGCTAAAATTTTTTAGAATAGCTAAAGAAAAAATTTCATAATTTTATGATAAATATTATTTATGATGACCTTTATTTTGATCAAAATCTTTCTCAAAGTAACATTTTAGTTAATAAAATTTGGTAATCACATGAATGTCTCTTAAGCCTCATACTCCTTGTATGAGGCTTAATGAGGCTCCTCTTCCCATAATATACCTTTTATATATTATACTTATTTAATTTTTTAAATAAATTATATAATATCCACGATATATTTACCATCCCTTAATACATGTTAATGATATGATATAAATTATGTAACATGATGTGGTCTTATAAAATAAATTTATCATATTTGAAGCATGGCAGGGCAAAATGATTTAAGTATCAAAAAGTGTTTTTTGGAGAATCAATAAAAACCATTTAATTTTTTTGTAAGAAGCCATTGCCAGCTCTACTTTAAATATTTCTTTTTACAGTTTATAAATAGTTATTGAAATTGAATATTTTTCACAGTATTGCTGTAGATATACAGATTAATAGATTCATTTTAATTATATTTATGATAAGGTTAGTAGAGTTGAAAAAGTTGGCGGTCAATCAAGTCGTGGAGAAAATTCATATGGAATAGAATTATTTTGTAAAGACATGAGAAATTTACGTTTTGGACACAAACAAGAAAATCATTCAAGACGTAATGTGTTTGAAAAACTTCAACAATTTGCATTTCCTCTTTCTCATAATATTCCATTGTTCGCATTTGAATATACTGAAACATTTTCAGAAAATGGTTGGAATGTTTATGAACCTATTGCTGAACTTAAAAGAATGGTAAGAAAATAATAGAGTTGAAAAAAATGCACTCATCTTTTAATTTTTCAACAATTTTTAATCTATAAGTATCTAAAATATTTATTAGGGTGTCCCAAATGATACTTGGCATATTACTAAACTAAATGATGGCTATGATCTTTGTGAAACATATCCTGCTATCTTAGCAGTACCAGCTGGAGCAACTGATGAAATAATAAGAAATGCTGCAGCCTTCAGAAGTAGAGGTCGAATACCTGTATTAAGCTGGTTACATTCTGAATCTCAAGCTACTATAACAAGAGCTTCACAGCCTCTTGTCGGTGTTGGAGGTAAACGTTGTCGTGACGATGAGAGATATACACAGCTCATAGTTGATGCAAATGCACAATCTCATAAGCTTTATATAATGGATGCTAGACCTAGGTAATTTTATTTAAATAAGCTATAATAAATATATAAATTTATGTTAAACATTATTGAATTCTAGTGCTAATGCTATAGCTAATAAAGCTAAAGGAGGTGGTTATGAACCTGAAGATGCATATCAAAATGCAGAACTAATATTTTTAGATATTCACAATATTCATGTAATGAGAGAATCTTTGAGAAAATTAAAAGGTAAATTACAGAATTCCTTAATAAAAACTTCCATATATTTTAAATAAATAATTATATTTTAAGAAATTTGTTTCCCAAATATTGATGAAACCAAGTGGCTATCTGGGATTGAATCAACATATTGGTTAAAACATATCAAATGTATTTTAGCTGGCGCTTGTCGTATTGTAGACAAAGTAGAAAATCATAAAACTTCAGTTTTGGTACATTGTTCTGATGGTTGGGATAGAACAGCTCAGGTAATAAATAGTTTTTTTTTTTAATTATACAAATATGTGTTATTAATTTTATTATTTTCAGCTTACTGCTTTAGCAATGTTATTATTAGATCCTTATTATCGAACTATTAAAGGATTTGAAGTTCTTATTGAAAAAGAATGGTTAAGCTTTGGGCATAAATTTCAACATGTCAGTATTAATTATTTATCCTAATTTTCTTTTTATTAACTATAAACTTTTATTTTGTAGAGAATTGGCCATGGCGATGATCACCATTCCGATGCTGATAGGTCTCCTGTTTTCCTTCAGTTTATTGATTGTGTATGGCAAGTCACATGCATGTTTCCAAATGCATTTGAGTTCAATGAGTTATTTTTAATTACTATCATTGATCATTTATACTCTTGTAGATTTGGAACTTTTCTTTATAATAGGTAATTTTATAAAATAAAACATTTATTTTATAAATTTTTATAATTTTTTAAAAGTTTCATCTTTAACTTGATGATATTATTGAAATTTTTGATAAATATGATAAATTATTTAAAATTTATCTAAAAAAATTAAATTATTAAATATTATACCTTTATTTTTATAGTGAAAAAGAAAGGATACAAAAAGATTTGAAACTTAAAACAGTATCACTTTGGTCTTACATAAACAGTGATGAAGACTTATATAAAAACCCTTTATATTGGCCACAACAACATGCATTAGAACCTGTAGCTTCATTACGTTATATCAAAATGTGGAAAGGTCTATATTGCCGTTGGAATCCAAGCATGAGACCTCAGGTTTAAATTTAATTAACTTAAATTATTTTAAACTGATATTTTAGTGAAAATATTTTTATTTTTAAAGTAGTATTTATTTATTTACAGAGTATCTCAGACCAAATTGACAAACTTTTGATTTAATTATCATATTATTGAAATTTCTAAAAAAAATAATTATTGCCTTAGACTAATTTTTTTACTATTTATCACTAATAACTAAAAAAAATTTTTAATTTTATTATAGTTATTTTTTAGCCCTTTTTTAACAAAAAATTTTGATGTATCAATAACAATTTTAGGACATATTAGGGTTTGGTGGTTTATATGTACACTGGTGGAATATATGTACACTAGTACGAACTGTAACCACCCTTACTACATACCCACTCTATGCATTAAAATGCTCAAAATCAACATTTTTTGTAAGAAAATTTCAACAAAATGTAATTGTATCAAAAGTTATAAACATTGTTAGATCTGAGATATCTGTATATATTTATCCATGTGACTTTTTTTTGATGGTTCAATCCTAAATGAATTATTCTTAAGAAAAAACTAATAATTCTATCTGTATTTTTTGCATTAATGCTTAAATTTTCTTTTTATAGGAACCAATTTATCAAAGAACGAGAGAGCTCCTTCATATGAAAACTCATTTAATGAAAATATCGGATGAGTATAAAAGAGAACTAAAACATAAAGCCACTAGAAATAGTTCAACTACAACACGATTAACTTCTCCTATACATATTTAGTTCACTTCAAAATATATTCAGTTATTTAAAATTACGAATAAACACAATATGAATAAATAATTGTGCTTTAATAAAAATATTTAGAACTATTGATTTTGTAAATAATTATTTAGTGTAAGTTATTATTTAAATTTGAAAAAAAATATGTAAACATTTTTTTACAACTAATTGTTATTAGTTTTTATTAATAATTATATATATTTTTTGTTAAACTGTAAAAACATTATGGTCAAAATAATTCTGTGGTAAAACTTTTTACTAGAAAGTACTTTTGAAGTTCATTTATTAAAATATATTTTTTTATTAAGATATTTATATCAATTTATGATCATTGAATTTGACTAGAAGAAAATAAAATGACTTATACAATAATTAAGATGATGTTATTTATATAATTTATTTTTTCAAAACATTTAAATAAAAGTTGACTTTTAATCGATGCTTTTTTGAAATTTAATTTTAGACAATTAGGATTCATGAGGAAGTTGATTCTATTAACTATTTTTAAATAAAATTTGTATACTTTTTGATCAAACATAATCATGACAATTTATACAGAAGTTTTTGATTATAATTGTCTACCAACTAAACCAAATATTAAGCCCATGTATGCATTTACTCAAAATACATTTAAAAAATATTACTTAAACTCCGGATCATTTTGAATCCAACTGCACATTTAACTGATGAGCATAATCATTTTAGATCTTTTCCCTGAAAATAATCCCTTAGCTAAAATTGTATTGAATGTCATTAACAAAATAATTAGTTTAAAAAAATTATTGTGTTATGTTTTATACTTAATCCTCAGTTGATTTCTAGTTGATTTTAAAAACAGTCCTATTAAAATTACCCCAATCCACTACAATAAGCTTTTATGTTAAAATAACTTGACAGATACAAAGATTAAAATGCAGCCTTATTTTGCTAACTTGGTGGAAATATACTTAACCTTTAAATAGAACCTCAAGTAAAGAAGTACAAGAAAACTCCGTCTCCTATCTTTAACGACAATAAAGAAGTATTGTCTTTAAGATTCATTCAAAATTTATATAATTTTATGGATAGATGGAATGCTCAAGATGGTAAAGGGGTAGTATTCCATACCATATTTTTTACAACGTAATTCCTGCCGTTATGTAATTTATATAGACATAAATAATCTAACAATTATCCATGAAATACATCAAAAATTATTTTATTTTTATGAGGAGTGTGGTAAAGTGCATTATAGCCTTAATCGTTATACAAGGTGTTTCTTTTAACAATAGCTACTCAATTTCTCTTAAAATATTAAGATTTTTGAAAAAAAAATTTCGGTTTTTGTTAGTTACATATGATGTATGTATTTTCATTTATGTGTTATAAAATAATTTTTAGGTCCATCCCTAATTTCTTATAGGGCTGTTAATTTAATTTTTTTTAATGATAACTTACATATTAAACTAGCTTATAAAATAAAAAAGATAACAACTTTCGAACCAGTATTTCAGAAATTATAAGCAATTTAATTAAAAAATGGAGAGGAGGGGATGCTGCTATTTTTATCACTAGTAATTTGTCGGTCACACTCTGTCTTCCAACTTGGTATAAAATGAGAATAACTTTCAAAGTATAAAAATAGAGTTAAAACCATATAAAATAAAAGGGAAGAACCTCAAATTATTTTACCAATAAAAGGAAATACATATATAAGAAACAAGAAGTCAAACAATTTTTTTTTTAAAAAACTTCATATTTTAAAAGAAATTGGTGGCTAGTATTAAAAGAATCGCTCTGTATAAATAGGATTAAAAACAGCTCTAATAAAAATAATATTTCACAACTTTATCAAATATTTCAACGTTAGTATATCTTCTTTTTCCTCGCCTTAATCCCAACTACTTGGGGTTTACCACCCTTATTCTAAACTTCCACTTGACAATCTCCCACATCATCTACGCTTAAATCAGCCGTCCTCATATCACATTCAATAACATCTCTCTATCTCTTTTTTGGTCTTCCTCTACCTCTTCTTCCTTCAACATTCATTTTTATAACTGTTCTTACAGCTTCCCATTCCTCTCTCCTCATAACATGACCAAATCATCCCAGTATATTTTCTCTCGCATTATGGTGTAATGTCACGATTGATGCGGGTTCCGGAGATTGCCACGAACTGATGATGCCCCGACATTCATTTACTCCGACACTGTAAAAAAATCCTCCGAATACATTTACTCCGACAACAATTACTACGAATACCTGGTTACAAAAATTTGGATGTTACTACGACGACGAATACTCCGAATAGGACTATTAATTGATTGCTTCGAATGAAATTAGCTCCGAATATCGATTATTCGAGAAATCGNGCTCCGAATATCGATTATTCGCGAAATCGATTAAAAAATTATCAAATTTCGGAGTAGATGAATATCGTAGCAATATATTATCTGATGGAAAAATATAACCCTTATCACTAATTAATAAATATTAATTAATATAATAAAATACCGTTATAATTGATTACTGTCTATTAACGAATAATTATTACAATAAAGATCCCCGAAATGTATCCGACTTTTGATAAAATAGGTACATAAAGGTAACATAACTGGTGTGAGCCCTTAAATTTTTTTTTGGAGGGGAAAGAAGAGCGATTTTAATCTTCAGACGTAAAATCTTTTTTACCTCTCCTTATTAGTGCTTATTTTNCTTTTTTACCTCTCCTTATTAGTGCTTATTATAACATTGTAAGCACATTAATATTATAACATTCAATTAGTTTAGTTAAAAAATATAGAGGTACGTTTTTATGATGATAGTATTCGTTATTAAACAGATGCGTTTATAAAGATATTCGGTATCCCATTCTCTAAAACTATCATTACAATTAGTTTCAAATGAAATCAAACAAAAATATAATTTAATATCATTTCATTGTTCAAAGGTGGGTAACGAAATTAATTCAGTCCAGTTTGGATTTGACCGCAATCTGGAGAGACTTGAGGGGGCTTTGTCTCCTAAAATTCTGCCATAGACTATACCGAAAATGAATTAATTTGTATTTCTTGTTGTATAGAAATATTTTTTTAGATTAGGTAAAAAATTATGTAATAAGAGTTCACNATTAGGTAAAAAATTATGTAATTAGAGTTCCCAAATATTTTGTTGCAATACTCCTACGCTCTAGTCAAATTAAGTAAACACAAGGCAGTTATAAGTTAACAGTGGACAATAGTTTATGATTTATCATAAACTTACAAAAATCTTCTGCTAAGTAAATTGTTTTAAACTTAACTAACTCGATTAAAAATATGCAGTCAATTCATTAAATAATGGTTCAGTTTTATTTCATTTGCATTATGATTATTTGAAGTTTTGTCAAATATACGTATAGAGTTAAATATTTTAATTTATAATCATGATTGATAATCAAACAATTATTCATTTTTTCTCATTAAATGGAAATCAAATATAATAATGTAATATTGAAACTGTACAACTTTTTTTATAGGACATATATATATATATAATTACATTTTTACAAAACATAATACATTACATTACGTGATTTTATTTTGAAAATTAATTTTTATTTTTTTTGGAATATGCTTTCATATTCTAAAAAGTACATATAAAATTAATTCAAATTTTTAAAAAAACTTCATTTTGTATTTATAAAACAATACATTTGTATTTGCAGGATACGCGTTAAGCTAACGAGATGAAAACATTGGCAAAATAATCATCTTTTCGCAGTGTCGGCCTGGCTCAGAAGGCCCTCATTAAATTTAAGATTTTTTTTCTCACTGGACCACTGAGAAAATTGTCCAACAAATTTAATTATTATTAAAAAAAAGAAAGGCTATTCAGATATTTTTTTCAAGGAAATATTAAACTGATTTCAATAATTGTATATTAGATTTTAAACAAAAAGAACTTTAAATAAATAATTTTTTACTCCTTAATATTTTTAACTTTTTTTTGAGCACCACTGGAGATTATAATGGTTTTACTTATAATTTAACATTGATTATAAAACTCATGTCACAAAATTAAATTTTTTTAACGATGAGTTAATATATTTTTAATTTTAGATGACACACAGAATTTTTAAATAAGAAAAAATTAATTCTACTTATATATAACCAAAACTTACTAATTCTTAGCATAACTCATATTAGACTTGTAGCAAAACTTACACAGTTTAATACTATTTTAATTTTTTTTAATATAAGTTAAAAATAATTTTAGTAATTAATTTTCAATTAAAATTGCTGAAAGAAAAATTAATCATACTCTTCTGAGTCTATAAAAACCTATTGGAAGAAACTTCCAGAAAGTAATAAGACTAAAAAAAATGTGTTCAACAATTACTGCATTGAAGTTGGATATACTGTGTTATTTTATACTTAGATATCCTAATGCAGCACAGGAAAAAATCCAGACATCCCCAAGAATGATTTTATATTGTACAAACAATTTTATGTGTTATATTAGTTATTATTTTTTAATATTACACACTTAGGAATTAATCACTAATAAAATTGCACAAGACAATTTTTACAGCACATATTTGTTATAGAAAAATTAGTTTTCAAATGGATCTCTTAGATGTTAAAAAATAAGTTACTGTTAGATAAAATTTTGTGGATCGACTGAAAAAACAGTTTTTTGATTTGATGAAAATATTTTGTAATTATTGGATAATTAAAAAATAAAATTCTCAAAGATAAATATTTGATTGANATTATTGGATAATTAAAAAATAAAATTCTCAAAGATAAATATATATTCTAACAATAGAGAAAACTTTTTCAAAAATGTACATTTGTATTAAACACTATTAATTTTATGTTACTTAATGAATGACTATTATCATTCGAGTATTAATAACATATGTCAAATGTGAGAAATTGTACCAGAAAATAATAAGCAAAATGTATATTATTGTATAATAACTATAGTAGCAAATAAATGCTAATTGAATAGAGCATTTTAATTTAAATTTTACAATATTATTAATAATAATATAATTAATTTAATAATGTAGTGTTTCTGTAGCCACGTGACCCTGACGTTGCAACATATTCGATCAATGCGCCCTATTACTAACAATGCAATCGAAATATAATATAACTTTCGAGCATAATCAAACTATCGATAATGTCGGAGTTTTTACTATCTCATTTTTTAAATTTAATGTCGGAGTAAAATCCGTCATAATTTTGGTAACCTATGAATCAGTTGGTCGGAGTACCAGATGTTCGTAACAATTATTACTTTGTCAAATGTCGGAGCATCATCAGTTCGTGGCAAAGGTGCTCTACTGATTGATGCTACACCTATAATCGCTTTTATATGTTCGTTCCCAACGTTAGTTTATATGTATCAAAATAAAATGTGTTCTTTTGAAATATGTCAGACATAAAATCACTAAATGTCATTGAGGTATAATTTAAAATGGTATAGTTATTAGGACTGTAGAAATTCCTCTTCAACAAAATTTATTGAATAACCTAATTTTTACTAAAAACATATTTTTAAGAAGATTTTAAATAGGATATCAAATATATTATTTGTTATTTAAACACTAAAAAAATGTATTCAGACAGTAATTCCAAGCGGAATTAGAAAATAATTGCAAATATTTTTTTACTCTGCATTATATGGGTTAAATTCTAATAAGCATAAAAAAAATAGCACAGTGGAGACGTAGCATAGTTAGGTCCATTATAGATTTAATCTGACAGTGATTAATTAAAAAAAAAGGTAGATTATCCCAAAAACAACATGATCTTCTATTTCCTTATTTATATCCTGATTACAAGTATTAGAAGTACAAGTATAAGTGTAATATATGAATAACTATTTAATATAGCAATTAAATATAGTATGAATTTTATATATACATATATATATATATATTATATTATATAAGTATATATATAAGCTATAAATCCCTCTAAGATAATAAGTATATAATATTTATTATATAAGCTTTAATTTAAGATATATAAAAGTGTTAGTAAATTACACATCTTAGTAAATATACCTTTTCAGCTTCGCATCGAAGCTAAAAGATTATCTTGACAAAAAATTCAAATATCACTTATTATCCTAGAGGGATTTTGTTAGGGAATCCCCAATCATCCCTCTGGTTATGCCACTGTATTAAGCTTCACCTAACTGTAACTAATTTCTACATAATGCATTAAAAGATTCAGTTAGAGGAAAGATAACATGATTTCTTTATGATTGCCAAACATTTTTTTTAGCTAATAAGCCCTAGATTTGTTGCCTAATTTAAATATTTTGTGGTAACTATTAACTCCATAGGTGTGCATATAGATTGAGATCAAAGTTAGTAAAAACATGTATAAACCTATTTTAGGTAGAGAGTACAAGAAATTCACAAAGCATATTCCATTAAACCTGCATTCAGTTTTTATTTATTAAATTATGATAGCTTTATCTTTTATTTTTGCTTAGCAATTACATTTTTGGTATTTTTTTTTTTTTTAGTATATATTTTTTCCCAAATAATTTTCTGTTTGTTCAAATACTTGGAAGTATTTCTGTGGTAAATACCCATAATATTATTTTTTTTCAGTAATTTATTAAGAAAAAATATTTGTAGCACCATTCATAGTTATATTCAAAATTTTTCCAAAATAATTTTTAAAAGTTATACATCTATTTTATTTATTTATTTTAATAATATTTTTAATTTTTAAGTTGATACAATTTTTTTAAGATCTTTTTCAGTAATAGACATATATTAAAAAAAATAATCATGATGATTCATAAAAAAATTGAATTTGTGTTAAGCTTGAACTTTTTTTAACTTAAATTAATATTTAAAATTAGTTTTCTTCTTTTCCTTTTAATTGATTAATGAATCTTTCTATATCACTTGCGCTGTATTTCTGTAAATATAATTTTAAAAATTAAATTGATTATTTAAATTATTATAATGCACAGTGTTTTAGTAATGACAATAATTATTTTAAAAAAATGTTAATAAAATGATAATTGTATCAAAAGTTATAAGTGTTGTCAGTTAGTACTATAACACTCAATATATATTTTGTGAAATAAATAATACTTACTTGTTTTTTTTGTACTAAACTAGTTAAATTAACAGTATTTATTATTACTTCATTTTTTTGATTCTCATTTATAGAATTATAAATAGATTCATCCTATAATGTAAATATTCTATTAAATACTTTTTATATAATCATAATAGAGGAGACTGGGGCACATTTGAATGTAAATTTGTATTGATTAATAGTACTAGTTGTATTTATTATGTTCAAGTAAAGTAAAGAAGACTAGCCATACTATACCCAACATTTGAGGTTTTTTATGTGAACTTAATTTTAAGTTTGGAAGGTAATTAAAATTTACCTCCCATTTAAATGTGCCCAGTCACCCAAATATTATAATATAATTTAAAACTAAATAATGCACTTTATTCATAGTTTACTTATATGTAGATAAAAAATTATTATTATGCTAATAAACTAAAATGCATTGAAACAAAAATTGATTTTTTATTAATCATTTTATATGAAATTCAAATATATTATGTTTATAATTAGTCACATTTATATAAATATGCTTAGAACTTTTTTGTTAATGATCATTGTCATTCATACTTTCAAATAAAAAAACTATTACTTACATTTTTATCATTCAATAATTGATCTAATGGTTCAGCTTGTTCATCAAAAACCTTGATATCTAATAAACCTTTTTTATTGCCCAAGATACTCTCAAGGAGCAAAACTCTTTCCTCAATTATTTTTAGTCTTTCATAAAAATTTTTATCTAATGGTTTAATATTCATACAAGATTCTAGATTTGTAATTCTTTCATAGATATCAGATTTTGAATTGAGTTCTAGTTGTTTTGAAATTTCATAACCAGTATTACTAGCCGGGTCTAGACCTCCATTGCACTGAGGTCCTGATTCATTGTAAACCCTGCTTACTATAAAATTGATATACAAAACCCAATTTATTTCATTATTTCAGTTACATTCTAGCAACTATCTTTCATACTATAACAACTTAATAAACACGGTATTGAATTTTCAGTCATAAAACATTAAAATTCAAACCGACTTATCAATAATAAAAATTATGAACTAAAAATAAAAAAGTATGAAAAATAGAGGAAAAATATGATCATTTTTAAAGACATAATGGTATAAACATACATTTCACATAACATTCAGATCCCTTTAGGCGTTTAGCTGCCACAGAAGAACTAGTTCTTGCAGAAGAATCGTCTTGATTATAATTGTAATATAGTCTAACATTTCTATCATCACTTTCTTCGCGTTTTCTTTTCATGAAATTTTCAATTCGTTTATTCACCTTAATTAAAAAATAATGTTGTAGAAAACAATACATTTTTAAAAACATAATTATAGTAAAACTATAATCAATTCAATGTATATATGTCTGTGGTTATAACTTACCATAGACATAGATTTAAAAATTTGTACTTCTGAAGGGTCCATCTAAAAACTAAATACATGGGACAACAATCATAGAAAGTTATTTATAAATTTATAAACTAAAACAACCTGAAGAAATAAAATATAAAATAACTATGAATTTATGTTTTATAACAGTTTTTACTCTAAAATCTTAGAAATTATGACTTTATCTCACCAGACTATAGATAACTATTTAATATGATAGAATTATTAATAATTTGTGTGATAACATCTTTAGCCAGTGCAAGTTATTTTGGAATGTTACAAATACTAGTAGTATTTTGTGCTAATACAGTTAAAAGTATCCCTTTACTAAATAAAAAATTCTTCGTGTTTTTTTTTGTCCGATAATTTTTCTCAATTTTAAATCTAACTAAATACCCGAGTTTGGTTCAGAAATCGAAGGCTTCATCATAACATGAATAATTCACACTAAATTATTGTTTTAAACCTTACATTAATTAAATAATGAAAATTCCACTACACAATTAGTTTAAACTACTATCAAACTCATATTAATTATTTTTAAAGTATAAAATTATTGAGAAATGCGTTTGTTTGGGGCGTCCAAACTTAATGTAATAACATTCATGAAATAACAGGGACCTCGCATCTCCTACCACTGTGGTTGTTTCAAAAATTATTGCTATATCAGTATTTTCGGAACCATAGACAAGTATACTATGTTCAGAACATAAGGGTCATATGACACTCATATCTTTTCTGTAATTATGCCAATAAGTCTTAATATTCTTTATTCACTTAAGTTCAAAATTTTAAAAACAGTCTATTTTATCATTATTTGTTGGAATACGACTTGATTAAATTTTTAAAACATCTTAAATACTATTTTAAGTTGACATAATTTACTGTTGTTATAATAAAATTTAAGATTAATTTTTGAGCTAAAAAAAAAATTTGACAATAACAAAAAACTATTATTTAATTTTTGGGTGGTGGGTAAATTATAAAAATAAAAACCAAACGAACCGTCATATTTTACTGATCTCGGCACCATAAGTATAATAAAAACAGCACCTAACTGGAACAATCATTAGGTTATAGTATCCTTTTAAGATTTAATTTAAGTAAGGTAGATCTTTTTTAGTAAAATCTTATTTTAGTGGTGTAAGCAGTATTTTTTCAAAAGCGCTGCTACAATATGTATACATACAAGTACCTTATTCTTTTTTAATTGAAGCTAAGATATAATAATAATAAATAATATTAACCAGGAGTGATCAACTTTTGTTGTATAATAGTTTAATATTCTAGCTAAGGTCAGACCCAAGGGTTATGGGTATATTACCTCTAAAAGTAAAAAGAAATATTAATCATTTTTTAGGTTGAAAATAATACTACTATATTGTATTAAATATATAAATAATTTTTTTTTAGATATTTTGTCCCTAAATTTGGAGTCTCAAAAAAAAAAAAAAAATTGCGTCTCACGATTAAATGTATTAAACATTTTTTCTGGATTCGCATCAGATTCTTCTAGTTTATAATGAAAATATATTTAATTAATTTATCTAGTTAATTTATAGAATAAACAACTTTTTATTTTAATTACTGCTTCATCATTTAATGAGAACCTTTAAAAATTGAAAAATAATCGTCAAAACTAAAAATAACACTTGTTTAAGGGAAGTGTCATTACCTCCTAACACCCCCTTATTAAATACGCCTGTCTTATCTTATTTAAATAGTAAAATTAATCTTGTTTTTTAATTTTCAAATGATTAATTTATAATTTAGTTATTTTTAAACAAAAATTAAATATGTAATGCATTATATTTATAATTTTATCTTTTCAGTTAGTATGAGTTTCAATAATTGACGAAGACGCCAAAAATTCGTTTTATTGACTACCTAATAACATCAAATGGTTCAAATTTCAGGACCACTATAATGTTATTGTTACACGCTTTCATCCGCTTGTAGACATTCACAACAGGCTCTTGGCGCCACTATGAATGTGCTGTGCCCAGTTAATGTTGGTAATGCGGGTGTTACTTGTAAAATATTTTAGCCTTAGTTATGTATTTATTTGAGTTGTATTTTATTTTGTAGTTACAATAAACCTCGATGACAACTAACCATATGTGTAAGAAAAAAATAAAATTAACACTTCGAAATAATATATATTATGATTTCGATTAAAATTGACCATGAGAACCTATAGTTATTACCACTAAGTTATGATTAATATTTTATTATTTTACAGTAACAAACAACTCTTTTTCAAACAATTTTAAAAATTGTTTGTAAATTTAATACAAAATATTTAAAATTTAATTTTACTTTTATCAAAAGCAATCTAAATTCCTGAAGTATTCTAATTCTTAAAATTATAAAAAAAATTGAAAATAATAAAAGAAACTAATAAAAATTCGTTGTTGAAAAAACAATTCGATGAATTTATTACCTTAAGATTTATCTTTTAGGATAGAGGTGGATAGCTACAAAAATTATGAAACAATTTTCGGCGGGTGATATTGTAGAGTTATGTGATAATACGTAGTGGTCCACACTACACCTGCTAAATTGTTTAATTTGGCAACGCTGCACACATTGTCGTGAGCATGACAAATGAGTGTTTTCTGTAAACAACGTTGCCGTGATTCTTCTGCTTAGATATACTCTTGACAATTACATAAAATATCCGTGAAAGAATTAAATTGTCGCCGTCTTCCGTTGACCGTCGTCGGTTGTTCAATTGTAATCTGTGATGCGCGTTCTATTTCTTTCTCCCCGTGGTTCACATTTATGTAAACAATCAAGTGCTTCAAAATTGATATTAGTTATTAACATTCTTTGATTATATTCGAAATAATTTGTTTTACTCGAGTAATATTGAGTGTAACTGTTATTTCTTAGAAGTTGTTTCATAGTTATTGATTCTCATTAGCTATGGAAGTGGACGAGTTCGATTCTGGTCGTTCATCGTCTACTATTTCGTCAATAAACAGTTTGTTTTCTTTTACTAGCCCCGCCGTTAAAAAATTATTAGGATGGAAACAAGGCGATGAAGAAGAAAAGTGGGCAGAAAAAGCAGTTGATGCCCTTGTCAAGAAACTGAAAAAAACCAAAGGTGCCATAGAAGAACTGGAAAAGGCATTAAGCTGCCCAGGGCAGCCTAGCAAATGTGTTACTATCCCTAGAAGTCTAGATGGCCGGTTACAGGTACAGAAGTTTTGACTTAAAGTATAATTATAATATATAATTGTATATATAATATATCAAATAACATGTTGGTTGACTATTAACAGGTTTCTCATCGTAAAAGCTTACCACATGTTATTTATTGTCGTGTATGGCGATGGCCTGATCTCCAAACACATCATGAACTCAAACCATTAGATCATTGTCAATTTCCTTTTTCTACACAAAATAAACAAAAGGATGTTTGCATTAACCCTTATCATTATAAGAGAGTTGAGAGCCCTGGTAAGTTATATAATTCCAATTGCATCATTGTACTTTTTGTACATATTTATCAAAAAATTCTATCTATATTCCCAAATTTCTTAAACTTTCTATAGTTATTTTTATCAATATTATACTACTTTATTATAATATTTTACTCTTAATTCATAATAATAATTTGTAAAATTTAAATATGATAGTAAATGCAGCTATGAATAGTGCTTTTTGATGGTATTCTGTTTTTGATTAAATAGCTACATATTTCAAGGCAGACTAAAAAATTAGCTTTTAAATAGTTAGTCAATGTATTGGAGAATTATAGTCTCGTGGTTTACTTAATGTTATAATCCTATAGTAGTAATTTATGATTTTATTTTTAATATTTTTAGTTTTAATGTGGTAAGATTTTTTAGAACTATTTGTTTGGCAACTATAATTACTGAAATTTTAAACTGACCAATTATCAATTAATGTGCTTTAGTTTTTTTTTTTTTTTTATTGATAAAAACTATTTTGATATTTTTGATTAAATAGTTGTAAATGTCTTCTTTTTAAAATTCAACATTTTTATTATTTTAGTCTTGCCACCTGTATTGGTACCTAGGCAAAGTCAGCTACCTCCCATGATGTTTCGCCAAATGCCTGAAAATCTTCAATATAATAACTATAACCAAAGTCCAAATTCTCCTTCATCGAGTCCTCCACCAAACAGCCCTTTTCAAAGTAGTGCTTTATCAGGTAATACTTTTTAATATATAAACTTATTAAAAAGTAAGTTTTAATGTTATTTTATTTTTGTAAATTGAAAATGTTTAGAAATTGGTGGCTCACCTAGACCAGATGAAAAAGCTATGAGTCCTGTCTCAGGAACTCAAGTGATGTATCAGGTATGTTAATTTATCACATGTTAGTTAATATTTTTTAATTGATTAAATGAAAATGATTGTTTTTGAAATATTTAGGAACAGGCAAGTTGGGCCAGTATAGCCTATTATGAACTTAATAGTAGAGTTGGTGAACTGTTTCATTGTCAGTCCCCAGTTGTTGTTGTTGATGGATTTACAAATCCTAGTAATAATTTAAACAGATTTTGTCTTGGTCAACTTTCCAATGTTAATAGAAACCAAACAATTGAAAACACACGGAGACATATTGGAAGAGGTAATTTTTTAAATAAAATATATATCTAATATTGGAAGGATCTGACCAAGTCTGTAACGAAGTAATGCCTGATGTGCATTGTCTTATATTCAAGACTCTGTCATGGGCACCTGCATTGCTGAATGAAAAATCAATTAAGTGATTGAAGTTGCCATCCCTCTCTCTGGCAATGTACTAACCACTTATCTTAGGGTACACATTGTTAAGAAACTTACTCTTAGGGAGAAGCCACACTCACTCCTTAATGGACCGAAAAAAATATGTATCAAATAAACATTTTTTAAAGCTCTTGAGAATTCAATGTTTAATTAAGGTCTTGAAAATTCTTCTACTTTTACGAGCGTATTAAACAAGACATATTCTGTTTGATTATTAACTTTAAGATCATTCATTTGTATTAAGATTATAATGTACTATTTTTATTATTTTATAGCATAATAGTTAAACTTTTATATCAATTTTTCTAATTTTAATACACTGTAATCTAGGTATTCAATTGCATTATATTGGAGGAGAAGTATATGCTGAATGCTTATCAGATTCGGCTGTTTTTGTACAATCCCGTAATTGCAATCATCATCATAATTTTCATCCATTAACTGTTTGTAAAATTCCTGCTGGTTGTTCATTACGTATTTTTAATAACCAACAATTTGCTACATTGCTTACAGAATCTGTAAATTCTGGTTATGAAGCTGTATTTGAGTTGACTAAAATGTGTACAATCAGGTAACATATTTCTTTCTTTTATTTTTTTTATTAAAAAATTAATTGATTTTATTTTTTTAGAATGTCTTTTGTAAAAGGCTGGGGTGCAGAATATCATAGACAAGATGTTACTAGTACACCATGTTGGATAGAAATACATTTAAATGGGCCACTTCAGTGGCTTGATAAAGTTTTATGTGCAATGGGATCACCTCACAATGCTATTTCATCTGTTTCTTAAATCAAATAAATTAACAATAATAAAATTTGTATTATTAATTTATATAAGTAAAATGATTCACGTGACTTTTATTAATAAGTTGAATTTTTTATTAAAAAAAAACACTATTTTTTATGACAATTAATTGTTATTTTTGTAGAAACAAAAGTTAATATGTATATACAACTATTAATGCATAAAATAAACTCTTTTATGATATATATTTTATATAAAGTGTATTTTTGTGTGTAATTAAATATGATTAATTTTTGTGTTATTAAGCTAAATTTTGGTGCTTTTGATAAGGTGTAATATTTTAAGTTTTCAAATTTTCTTCATGAAATTGTATTGCATACCAGTGAACTTTTAAAAACTAAATAATCTTACATTCTTTACAAACTTGTATTATTTTCTTTAGAAAATGTACACATTTTTATTTAAAATCTATTTATAATTATTATTATTTTATGTTTATTACAATAAATATAATTAAATATAACTATTACAACATAATATTAGTTATCTTTTATAAAATTTAAACAATAATTCATCATGACAGTATTATGTATTGAAAGTAAAATTAATATATTAAAATATAAAATAACCATTTTTTTTTTAATTAAAATTTTTTTCTTGAAATTGAACCAAATAATTTTTAAAGTAATCAATTTTGTTTATATAATAGAGGATTAATAAATTCTTATGAGCAAAGTTAATATATTTAAATAGAAAATGTTTTATTAAAATGCTAGCAAAAGAGTTACAATGAGATTATTGTGCAATTAAAAAATATTATAATGCAATTTTTTGTAATGTCTGTTTATATAAAAGCTGTGTGTAACTCATTATAGTTGGAATTATTGTCATAATGTTAACTTATAATAACAATTTTTCTTTTATTATTACTAATAAAATACTTTCTAATTTTGTAAAATAAAAATGTTAAAATAGCAGGGCTTGAAAACCAGTTAAAACTCGATTTTTTAATCAAATATTGTTTACCGGTGGGTCTTAAAAAAAATAAATGTAATCTGTTAGAGGTAATTCAAAATTTTCAAAACTATTGACCAAAATTCAACAAAGAATTGGTTTTTTTTTAACAAAAACTGATAACCTTGAAAAAATTTGTTGATAAATACCTTAAGAATTCCTTTTTTTAAGTATATATTTATTAAATATCTAACTATTAACCAGCCTTCTTTTAAAAATGTTCTAATAAACTTCTGACCCCTTAAAATATATCTTTATTAAAGATTACTCAGTATTGAAAAAAAAAATTAACCTTTGAACAAAGGTGTAAACTGATATCAAATCTAAAAACCTTTTATAAAGCTTTTAGCTTCTATTCAAAGCTGAAAAGGTAATACATTTCATTGTCGCATTTTTTTAACGATACGCCGTATAATTACAACTAGTATCTAGATAAAGATATTACCTTTAAAAATTAAAAAAAAATTTCTCTTTATCAGATAAAAAGTTGTATTTATACATAAGTAACAAACTTTTTTTTTTGAAAAGTATTGTGTCAATCCCATTAATTTTTTTTCATAAAAATAACAATATTAAATTATTGAGCATAAATTTTATACTAAATTTAATTACTATAATAAGTATTTATTTATATATTATACTTATAAATTATAGAACTACTAATTAGGAATAATGAATGAAATAGGTGTTAATTTTGCTTTTGTAATAATCTACCAATATCTTAAGATTAAACACTATCTACAGATTTGCATCAAAGTGTTTCTTATGATAGTCATTTTAATCACTGTCAGATATCATCTTTACAAGTCTCAACTATGCTACGGTCCCACTGTGTTGGGTTTTTAAAAATTGAAAATAATTAATCTAAAGTGCTATTTTAATAATATCCAATTTTTAGCGGTTAACCGTAACCGAAAATACAATGAGCGGCTTTTTCTGAAAAAAATGGTAAATGTTAACGTGATAATACATAATGATTTTTGTTATAAGAAAATAATTAAACGAACTTAAGATTTCTTTACATTTATTGTAATTATTTTAATGGTTTGATTAATATTTTTATGAACCTTCATTAGTAATTAAATATTTCACCATTGACTTAATCGTACTTCAAAACACTTGAACATATTTTATTTTTTAAGTACACGATTTTTAATTAATATAGTGCGCTATTTGCTTCATAACTTTTATGTTTTCATTCATTCAAACTTTTCTTAAAATTAATAATGAAGATATCACATGTGCAATTATTTTTTATTTCTTACAGCTTATTAGGTTCTTTAGGAATAAACAATCTCTCAATATCGCAAGATGATTCCTTTAAATTTCTTTTCGATTGTTTATTGAATATAACGCGCACATATTTTGATAGACACACGACTTATATGTATTTCAACAAAAATACTTATCCAGATAATATGCTAGATTTATTTTCTAAATCTGTTCAAAGCCCTAAAATTCTTATGCCTTTTTTGCTAGCTAATAATAAATCAAAAAATGTATATGTGTTTTTCGCCGAAGATGAAATTCATTCACAATTAATCAACGTTACTCCGAAGAGCTTCTTTATTGCCCTATGGAAAACAAAGGCTCCTCAAATGAGCAATATAAGAAAACTATTGCGTCATTTTTGGACAAATGGTAAGCATATTAATATAATCACATTAGTGTTAAATGAACACCTAATCGTCAACGTATATACCTATAAACCATATTCAGAATATGGGTGTAACAAACTTGGTCGGCCATATTTATTGGATCAATGGATAAATAATTCATTTCAATCTGATAATGACTTGTTTTCTTTCAAAGTAAAAACATCTAATATGCATGGATGCCATTTAAAATGTTTTGGAAACGAACATCCCCCGGACAGTATAGTGCACAACGATGGATATCAGAGGTCAATTGAAGGCGCTGGAATTAAGGTATTAGAAATCGTAGCTAAGCATATGAACTTTACACCCTTCATCATTCTAACCACTAACAAGTCGAATGAGCCATTCAACTGGTTTAATAGTGCTGAAATGTTAGATAATATTACGTCAACGTTACAAAATGATGATGTTGATTTAGCATTTGGTTGGTTTACATATGCATACAATAATAACAATAATATCGAATTAGCAAGAACGACCAGCATTGATTGCTTTGGTTGGGCTATTCCTTACAGAGCGGGTCCGATGCCGCCACTATGGACTAACTATGTCTACGAATTTGATAGAATTAGCTGGTCTTTCATTGCAATGATTTTCATTTTAGTATCTGGTAAATATGAGAAATATAATTTTTTAAATTCTTAATTTTAACGAATGTGATTAATTGTTTTTAACGTTAAAACCCTTAATACACCACTGTTATAATCAACGTTTTTAAATCGCTAAGATTCATTATATTATGCAATGACCGATATCGAACATTACATTACATAAAATTGAATTTTTTTTTTACCTTAAATTTCATTTTGCATTATACATAAATTTGCTGAGTCAGCACATAATTGTTTATCATCATTTACTTCTTTTAATTAATGTGATAAAAAAAAAATTAGGTCCTCAATTTGTCTAATTGAAACTGTACAAAATGTCTGAGTATATTTATTTAAATTTTTGGCTTGGAATTGTTCCGTTTCGGACACTCAATTAAGTTCTGGTCTTGTGTTGAATGCTAATTTAGTAGTATATATTTAATAAATTAATATATATATTAATTTATCAAAATAAAAAAAAAATTAACAGCCCTTATTACAACTAAGTCACAGTTATATAGTAGCTTGATATTTTTTTTTAAGTGTATTAATTCTTAGCAGAAAATCAAATCTTTTCACATTTTTTCCATATATATTTTTTATTTTTAATACTTATCTTGAAAAATATTAATGATTATCCTAAAAAAATATTGAGATCAAGTTTTCATATATTACAACCATTAGAGTCGTTTTAAATTTTGTAGGGATCATTTTTTATACTAGTTAGAATAAAAAAGTGACTTAGAAAAATTTTGAAAAGTTGTGAAATAACTGATATTCTAAAATATTCAGTAATTATGTTAAATCTATATATTAAATAATATACACTTTTACTTCATATATGAAGTAAATTATTGATGTTTTAATATATTAAATAGGGTGAAAATTCAATAAAATTTTTGAAGAGGCTCATTATTTAATATTTCTTTCTCCTAATTTTAGATTTGATGCGAAACGATAAGGTAATAATTTTACCAAGATGTTTGTTTTTTTTTTTGTGCCTGTTACCACTTATTCTCAGCTCTCACTGAAACGATTTTGACGAACACAATGTCAAAGATCACAAATCGTATCTAGTCGAAGACATTATCCTTAAAAAATTGAAAAAATTTCCCTCGTTCCTTGTAAATGGAGGAAATCCCCCAAAAATTACAATTTAAAAAATCGCTAATTTTTGACATTTAAAAAAAAAATTTTTAAAGATATTTTAGGTATTTACCTATCATTTGGTATGTATTTTTTTTTAATTTATATATTGAAAAATGAAATGACACTTTTATATATATATCTTAAATTAAAGTTTATATAATATAATGTAATTTGAAAAAATACATTTGATCTCTGGACTTGTATTTATGGTGAAAATGGCTACGATATAGCCATTTTGAATACGGTATTCAAAAATATGATATTTTTGTGACAAAAATCTCTATTTTATATTTTGTGAAAAATGTATGGATCAATACAATTTTTTTATGATAAATATTATATATTTACCTTTTTCATACGACATACTATTTTTTAAAGCGTTCTATTTCCCCTTTCTATAGGAGGGGTTCAAAACTTAAAAATGCGTATAGTATCTAAACCTTTTCAACTTAATTTTTGAAAATGTTCGGGAAATACTGATACTTTTATATATCTTAAATTAAAACATATGTAATATACTTTAATATGACAAAAAAAAAAAGGTCCAACTTAATATTATTTTCATGGGGAAAATGGTTACCGTATTAAAAAATATGCTATTTTTGTTTTAAAATTCTCAATTTTATATATTTGATTTTATATTTCTATAATATATTTATATTAAAATACCTTAAAAGGGTTTTCCATAGTAATGAGTCCACCGATTTTTATATAAGTTACATAAATCTAACTTAAATTGATTATATATTTAAACTTATTTTGACTTTTAGGTTAAAAGAAAGGACTTTTAATTTTCGAACTAGTCTAAATAAATGTATGATTGTCGAGATGGTTACCCACCAGTCTTTCATGCTCCGATTACGATGTTCAAAGTCGTCCGTTATATTGTTCTTTTTGAATTTTTTTTTGCAGTGGAAAAAAATTCAAAATTCATTTGATTTTTATCTCATTTAGATTGAATAACTGCAATTTAATTTTTCCCATCGCTTCTTTTTTTGACATTATTGCTAATTTATAAAAACGACTTATGTATGTTAAAAGTAATAAGTGCAAAATTTCGATTCAAAATGTCATATTTAACCTATTTTTTGGTCCTTTAAAGTTGATTTTAATGAAAGTTTATAATTTAAAAACGTTGAACTATTAAACTTTTTTTAAATTAAACTTGCAAGTTTAAAATTGATATCATTAAATACAAAATTTTATGAAAATTTCAAAAATGGTTTTTTTTTAGAAACTTATATAATTACTATAAACAGAAAATTTATGAAAAAAGGTCAAAATTTCGTTAAAATCACTTATTATATTTTTTGTATTTATATCGTAATAAATCATTTCAATAGAACTATTAATCATTTCTATGTAACTCTTGATGTTTAAATAGATGATACAATTAAAATATTCAGAACTATATTCCTGATAGTTATATCCTATAGTTTTAAGTAATTAGTAATAATATCAAAAATTAGTAGTGATAGAAAAATAGATTTAAAATTAGTAAGAAAAATTGAATAATAAAAACATATTTTTGAATCAGATGAAAATTCCTTGTAAAACCTTTAATTCATAATTAACAAAAAATTATTTTCTGAAAAGTTTTGTATCAAGCCCTTTAATTATAATTATTATACACGTTTGCATAAAAGTAATAACTACTTTATAAATTCTCCGAAATAATTACAATACTAGATTATTAAATATCAATCTCATACTATATTTAATTGCTTTAATATATATTTAATCATATATTATACTTTTAAATCAAAGAACTACTAATTAGAAGGAATTAAGAATTAATTTTGCTTTTGTAATATCTTAAAATAAAACACTATCTAAAGCTTTGCATCGAAGCATTTCTCATCATAATGATTTTAATCACTGTCAGGTATCATCTATAGTTGTCCCAGCTATGCCGCGATCCAACTGTGATACCGTTTCTTGTTATTTCCTAAGGTATAACTTATAAAATCTACCATTATTTTCAAAAAAAAAAAATGCTTATAGCTTAGAACTTACAGTGTACCATTTTTATTGGATATTTTTAACTGTTTACTTATATCTGAAACAGTTTTTAATTTTTAAAAGCATTTTTAACAATCCTGATTTTAAAATTTCACCTGCCAAACAATGAATTACAATAATATATGTACAATTACATAATTATTTGATATTATTTTATTGCAGGTATATTACATTTTTTTAAAGAACTGAAAAAATTAAAATACAATAGCTCAGTATTTTTTTACGTATTTCATACATCAATTGACCAACCGTTAAGATTACACTCAATATGGTGTAGCACACGCTTATTTATTATCCATTGGTTGTGGTATTGCATGATTATTAGTGTAGCGTACAAAGCTTCATTGGGCAGCTTTATGACAGTTCCACTTTTAGGGATAGAGTTTACAGAGATGGATCAAATTTTAGAATCTAATTTACTAATGATGGCTAGCCCACAATCATTGCGAATCATCAACGCCACTATGGCCACTTCTATGATATCACGAAAATTCATGAAACGACTAAAAAAGTTGCCACTTACTAACTTTAGTGAAGTCATAGATCGAATGGTTCTTGAAAGAGATATAGCTGTATTCGAAGTAAAACGGTTAATTTACTACTATTCGACCCCACAAGCAAAATTACTAAAAGTCAAAGTACCAATAAGATTTCTACCCGGATGTTTGTTGCGAGCTCATACTACTCAATTCATGTTCAACCGCGGTTCATACCTCATCGAATCAATAGACGATGTTCTTAGCAGATTATTCGAAACTGGAATAATTGATCACTGGATCGTACACTTAGGATCAAACAAGGTACTTCCTTTAGAAAAGATCAAGGGAATAGTATTACAATTTGATCAGCTTAAAGAAGCTTTTCTTTTTTTGGTCTGCGGTTACATTTTTGCGTTTGTAGTATTTTTTGTAGAGCTTTGGTGGTCTAAGTTAAGTCAAAAAAGTGTTATTAAAATTTGTTTGCCATATTCTGCATCAGAAATGTCTAATAGAAGTCTACATCCATTTACACACTGAGTTTGGGAGATAACAATCATATTGGTACTATATTATATACACATATTAAAGACACTAAATTGTTTTTAATTTCCATGCTTTCTTGAAAAAGTTATTTTAACATACTATAGTTAATATTTCATTTTAGAATGGAAGGTAGAAATTATATGGACTTAAGCAGACCTTGATTTAGGATCTTAATCCGACCAAGGACTTAAGAGAATAAGAGTAATAACTGATAAATCTTATATAAAAAAATAGTTGGGTTTTCGTGTGAATAACTGTTAAGATACCATACAAACATTGATTTAAATAACCTTTAATTTAATTCGTTTTGTAACACAATAAAATTAAATATGATAATATAAAAATAGTTTTATTTGCATTTAACATTTTAGTAACACACAAAATAAGCATTTATATTATATTTGAATGATCACATAGTAACCATTTGGAACTTAAATATACTATAAAAAGTGTAGACATGATTTCCAAGTTTATTTTTTATTTTCGGGTTTTATTCATTTTTTAACATTAAAATAAGGTTTACTGCTGTTTACAATCTGCAGGGTTAACTTGTTTATTTATTAACTTGTCTTGGCGAGGATTATATTCTGGATCATTACCCGTACATTCATCTTCATCATCATCGTCGTCGTCGTCATCATCATTTTCTGACTCTTCTTCTTCATCATCTTCATCAAAGTCATTTTCTTCTAGTAAAGCTTCCCCTTTAATAAAATAATTAAACGTAATACAATTTGTTGTGATTACGAGTACAAAAAATTTATTTATGTATGCATTTTTTTTTAAGTTAGTTTAAAGAATTATAATAAGACATGATTACTCATGGCTTATATTTATATTTTTTGTTTTAAATTTATATTTAAAATGTATTTTTAATTTTAAATAGTCTAAAGAAAAAAATATCTAGTTATTATTATTTTAGCTTCGATGCGAAGCTGAGAAGGTATTGGTTTTACTATGATGTGTTGTTTTTTTTTTTTTTGTGTCTGTTACCACTTTTTCTCAGCTCTCACCGAACCGATTTCTTTCAATGATACGTCAAAAGATCACAAATCGTATCTAGTCGAAGACATTACCCTCAAAAATTGAAAAAAATTCCCTCGTTCCCCGTAAATGGGGGAAACCTCCGAAAAAATTACAAATTTAAAAATCGCTAATTTTCGAAATTTTTTCAATTTTTTTTACTAAAAACTGCCGTAACTTTTTCAAAAATGAACATATCAATATAATTTTTTTTTATATAGATGCTTGATGTCTTTACCTATCATTTGGTATATTTTTTTTGTAAATCTGACACTTAACCTGCCCACAGGGGGGGATTTAAAATGACAACTTTTTCACAAAAAATTAACTTTTTCAACTTAACTTTTGAAAATGTTCCGGAAGGTCTGACACTTTTATATATATCTTAAATTAAAGCTAATGTAATATACTTTATAATGGTAAAAAAAAATTTCGGACTTTATTTTATCTTCATGGTGAAAACAGACATTAAACTTAATAAAAAAAATACGATTTTTGTAAAAAAATTCTTTTTTATATTTTTAACTTTATAATGCTATAACTTCTCGAAAGATGTATGGATCAATATAATTCTTTTTTTTGTAGATGCATGATGTCTTTACCTATCATTTGGTATATTTTTTTTATAAATCTGACTTTTTACCTGCCTACAGGGGGGGATTCAAAATGACAACTTTTTCACAAAAAATTGACTTTTTCAACTTAAATTTTGAAAGTGTTCCGGAAAGTCTGACACTTTTATATATATCTTAAATTAAAGCTAATGTAATATACTTTATCATGGAAAAAAAAAATTTCGGACTTTATTTTATCTTCAAGGTGAAAATGGCTACCAAATGCTATTATTGTGTGAAAATTCTCAATTTTATTTTTTACATTTTTAACATTATAATGCTATAACTTATTGAAAAGTGTATTGATCAATATAATTTTTTTATGGGAAATACTATTTTCTAATAATCTCTTTTTTATTCGACATACTTTGTCTTAATCAGGATATTAATAAGGAACTAGCAGTTTATGAAGCTTTTGGAATAATCCACCAATTTTTTAAAATTAAACACTATCTAAAGATTTGCATCGAAGCGTTTTTTTTTGATAGTGATTTTAATCACTGTCAGATATCATTATACTTGATCCAACTATGCCACGTCACCACTGTGACGCGATCCCCCTGTGCTGGGTTTTTTTTTTAACTTTATAATGCTATAACTTTTTGAAAGATGTATGCATCAATATAATTCTTTTTTATGTAGATGCATGATGTCTTTACCTATCATTTGGTATATTTTTTTTATAAATCTGACTTTTTACCTGCCTACAGGGGGGGATTCAAAATGACAACTTTTTCACAAAAAATTGACTTTTTCAACTTAAATTTTGAAAGTGTTCCGGAAAGTCTGACACTTTTATATATATCTTAAATTAAAGCTAATGTAATATACTTTATCATGGAAAAAAAAAATTTCGGACTTTATTTTATCTTCAAGGTGAAAATGGCTACCAAATGCTATTATTGTGTGAAAATTCTCAATTTTATTTTTTACATTTTTAACATTATAATGCTATAACTTATTGAAAAGTGTATTGATCAATATAATTTTTTTATGGGAAATACTATTTTCTAATAATCTCTTTTTTATTCGACATACTTTGTCTTAATCAGGATATTAATAAGGAACTAGCAGTTTATGAAGCTTTTGGAATAATCCACCAATTTTTTAAAATTAAACACTATCTAAAGATTTGCATCGAAGCGTTTTTTTTTGATAGTGATTTTAATCACTGTCAGATATCATTATACTTGATCCAACTATGCCACGTCACCACTGTGCCGCGACCCCCCTGTGCTGGGTTTTTTTTTTACTGAACTTAATTCACTTCAAAACTGAGCATTTATAGAAAAATATTGTAACAATAACACAAGTTTAATACTAGATAAATTTTACTTTAACTTGGGTGTCTTAAAGCTCTAACATAAGGCATGGAGTCACAAGCCCCTTAAAGCAACATTTTATATGGTAGATTTCTTAATATTAACATAATAAAGATGAAATGTAAGTTTAACATAATAATACAAAAATCACATAGGCAATAAATTAATGATCATACCAGTATAATAAAGAACCGCTCTTGGGATAATTCTTTCACGTATATAATGCCCAATTTCAAAATCTGTAGTTAACAAGTTATCAATTTCTTCATCAACTTCTGTTTCGGGATCATCAGGAACTAAAACAATAAAAATATAAAAAACTTAGTCAAATTATAAAATAATATAATCATTTATAGGAATTTAAATAAGAATAGGAAAAACATTTTTTACTTCTAAATATATTTTTAAAAGTATGTCAAAATCACAATTTAAATATGATTTTTTATATAATAAATACTTTATTTTAAAAATTGAATTAATTCTATCACATTAATTTATGATCTATTTAAAATAGAGCCATAATTAATTTTTAACTATTAACTTAATTTAAAGCCACAATTGCACAATTAGTCAAAGTGGTAGTTGTTTAAGTTTTTTTTAATTTTAGCACAGAGTTAAAAAACTAATTAAAATGATAATTAATTATGATAAGTGCTAAATAAATAAAAATATTTTTGTATTTATTAGAGATCTTTATAAAAGAAATAATCAAACTTCAATGTTTTCAGAAAAAATATTTAAAACTAAAAAATAGGTTAAACACTATTTTTAAATAAAATATTTTGGTGAAAGACATATTAACTAATAATCAAGACAAATTATTTAATATTAGTGAACAAACCTAAAAGATAGTTAAAAAATACCATAGTTTATAATACAATAATATTAAAACATTTTCTTTATATAGCTAGATATAAAAATAAGCATACTTAATTCACTAATTAGAATCAATTAAAATAACGAATTATTCTAAAACATATTTTTTTATTTCTCTTAATAAAAATCAATTTTTTTAAAACCTTATTTGACATTATCGATATCATAACCATTTAAAATTATTAATAAAGTAAATTTAATTATACCTGCAGGTGGACTAAAGAAATGGAAAAATGATACATTTTGAACAGTTTTGTTGACAAATCTAACAGCACCCTTAACTTTGTGCTTTTGTTTTTTTTTAACAACCTTAACAGTAACATTTTTTCCTTTGTTCCAATGAATAGTACATCCCTAAAAATTAGTCACCTTGAAATAATATGTAACTTATGAAATGTCGGTTTTTAATTTTTACTTTGCACTTATATATTTCTGGTCCTTCAAAACTTAAAGGGTTATTTTTATCAGGCACACATTTCATTTCATATTCTTTAGTTAACACAGTGTTAGTAAACCATTCATTTGGTGTAAAATGAAATTCTAATGCAAAACCCTAAAGAAAAATAATTAATAGTTAAATTATAATTTTAATAACATTTTAAATTTATACCATAGGTTCTTCTAACAAATAAACTTTGATATCAGACAAATGACTCAAAATGGGTTCATCATGAGGTTGTATCATTTCACTAATTAGACTTGTGTTTTTTAAAATAGTTAACCAAAAGTCTGGAATACCTTTAATATTTTCATCATCCACATTTTCCCTAATTTATAAATAAAAAAATTAGTATTTAAAAGAAATTTAATTTTTAGAATTTAGTGTTTTAATGCATACTGTTTAATTTCTTCCAATTTAGCTTTTCCTTCCATGTTAGCCGAGAGTTCTTTAATATCCTCTTCTTCGTCTGAAGGAAAATCACACTCTTCTTCATTAGGTTCATAACAACCTTGAACAATTTCACTTCTCTGTGAATGAAAAACTTTTTACATAAATTTTAATGAATTAATAAACCAAAAGATATTGTTTTTACCTTATTGTAAAAGTTGACATACTCTTTATGATACTTGCACTCTAGGACATGAAGTTCAGTATAAAATTTTGTGTCAACTGCAGTTTGAGCTACTAATAATTTTTTTAAGGCTTTAACTCGTTTTTTGACTGCTGGAGGTAGGTTCTAAAATTTATAATTTATCTTTTTTAAATAGTAATAAATTAATTATAATTATAAAATTGATTTTAATAAATTGTTGGTTCTTGTAAAGAAGGGCTAAAGTCAATTTTTGGCATTTTATTTTTATAATTTTATCTTTTGCCGCATTCTTCAAATTTATTTTTGTTTTTAAATGGTATAAAAATATCAAAAAATGATTTAAGCTCTTCTTTCTATAAACCAAAGAACTAATAATGTTGTTATATAATCTTAGTCATATCAGCAGAAAAATCTTACTGGTATAATGTCTTCTCCTTCACCTCTAAAACCAGATTTAAGTTGTGAAGGACAATCATCTTGTTCCATATCAGAACTTGAAGATGATGATTCTACAGCATCATTTTCAGTAGACATCTAAAAATTATATTATATTTAATATTTGATCATTCTAAATAATATAGAAAAAATAATAAGAAATTAAAGTAATAATCATGATGATCAGCTTACTATATAATTCTCTTATTAAAAATATACTTCATTTATTTGTTTTGAAAACTATTAAAAATTTGATTAGATTAATGTTTTTCTTTAGAATAATAAAACTATAATTGAAAAAGAATCAACTTACGGATCATTTTAAAAACTTATCATTCATAATGATAAATTTTGCATATAATAAAGTAAATATAAACATATATACAAATTACTATTAAATATATGCCTTGAAATGATATACTTTTAAATTAAATAATTTGAATCATCTAATATTTTGAATAAAGAAAATCAAAGTAGGTAATTCACATTTTATTCTCACTATATTAGATTAATTTCAGGATATAAGGAAGAAAAATATATTGTCTGACACTACATTTAGCTAAATAATAATTTATCATTTAAAATCAATGTTTAATGTATCATTTAATTTAAGATCAGAGGAAGCGATTGTTTATTTAACCTCTTATCATAATAAAATTTATTCAAGCGTCTCAATAAATTAAACTACATTTTACATAATGATAGTTAATAAAAAATTAATCAAATTACTCAGAAAATATTAAACACAGTAATACTAATAGAACAAGGGTTAACTAAATAAAAGAGTGTAGTAACTGTATAATAGCAAAAGCACATGGTTGTATTTGTACCCGCCATAACCGAATGGCCGATGATAAAATAGTAAATTATTTACTTACTTTAATGAGGAAGTTAAAAATAATAACTACACCAAAAGTATTAGATCAGTTACTATATTTAATATATTACTTAACGATTCGTCAGGTGATTAAAACTCGCACGTTAAAAACTAATAACAAAAACTTTGCGAGTGAAAATATAACAAGTTCTGATGAAGAATTTTAACAGAATAACCAAGATGTAACGACGGTTCGGAATTCGCCTGTTTTCCCGGTAGTCTTCGATAACAATGGATCTGAATCAACCAATTACTGACCTCCAAGTTATCAGCTGTCTTTTTATCAAAGAGTTACAAAAGTTAGAAAATTCAGTATTCTTTGGGATTATGTCTTACTTTGGTGCCTTCAATGATTTTATTGCTTTTATCTGTAAAGTAGCTGTTTTACAATCTATCTAGTGAAATTTATATTTTAATCGGTATAATTACAGGTATACATTTACATGGTACTGCGTAGTGGTGGGAATTTTCATTCTTTTCGGTAAAGTTACTTAAAAGTAACCATTCTAAAATACTCGGTACACCGGTACTTTTACATTTTTGTAATTTAGAACCTTCATTGCTACCCGTCACCAAACAAACCAGTATTTATTGATCATATAAACAGTTGTATCTATGTAAATGACATAGAAGTATTTATTGATTTATTATTGGTACTGTACCTACTAACGTCCAGCGTAGATACAACTGTTTACATGATTAATAAATACTGGTTTGTTTGGTGACAGGTAGCAATGAAGGTACTAAATTACTCATCAGATAATATTATAAAAGGCGAGAATGCTTTTCGGAAAATGTTTAGATAAGAATTTTTTTTTAGAAGTAATAATACAGAAATATTGATAGGCATAATATTAAATTTTAATGAAAAAATAGATACCTTACCACAGAATAAATAAAAAACCGTATTTTGGCCAAGTTAATATGAGGTATAATCAATTATTAAAGTATAAAACTATCATTTTATTAACCAATATGTTAAATAACATACTATTTTTTTAGCTTCGCATCGAAGCTGAGAATTTAATTATATAAATATATTACAAAATTAAAAATATCTTCAAAACAATATTTATTTTAAAATATATTTCCAATCTCTTCTTAAAATTTTAAATAATTTATAACAATAATTATGTTAAATTATTTAACTACATAAAAAAAGTCTTCTAAAATTATATTTTTAATCAAAAATTACTATTTAAAAATAGTAACATCTCTGAATAATTAACTGTAAGTCTATTACGGCTTTCAGTAATTGTGTATCCCGTTTTAGAAAATGTCCGTTCGCACAGAAAGAAGTTGAAGAAACACATAATCTCAACAATAAAAGATCAAATAAGTTAAAAAACATCATTTTCCTCTTATTCCACCATAACAATGGACCCGACTTTCTTTTTATTATAGTCTCATTTAAATATCTATCTAGCTCAATAGTTGGAGATTTTTTCATGAAGTTACCACCTTAAAAAAATTTAATTTTTGATTAAATAAAATAATAAACTTTTTTGTTGTTATACCTGAAAGTCAAACTGTTTTCAAATATTTTAAATTTCAATAATAGTATACATACATTATACATTAGTACGTAGTATTATTAGAACGTCTTATGCATATTTCTTTACTTATACTTAATTGAATAATTTGGTTATAAGTTATAAATGTATTTAATGTAATCGAAACATACTCAAAATCATTAAGAATAATCGATTAGTATTATCAAAAAAATAAATTATTTTAATTTCGAGTAAAATTTCAAGAGATTCTCTGGATTACTAATAATTCAATTATGCCCTTTATGCTCTTCTTCTTCTTCTTCCTCGCCTTAATCCCAACTACTTGGGGTCGGCCACCCTTATCCCAAACTTCCACTTAACACGATCTCCCACATTATCTACGCTAACATCAGCTGTCCTCATATCGCATTCAATAGCATCCCTCCATCTCTTTTTTGGTCTTCCTCTACCTCTTCTTCCTTCAACATTCATTTCTATAACTGTTCTTACAGCTTCAGATTCTTCTCTCCTCATAATATGAACAAACCATCTAAGTCTACCGTCTCTCATATTATCCATGATTGACGCTACACCTATACTCTCTCTTATATGCTCGTTCCTTATTCTATGAACTGGCAATATTATTACTGCTGCTGCTGCTGCTTTCCATTGGCTGACTGTTCTCGTTTTGCACACTAAAAAAAAAACAATTTCTTTTAGATAGATAATAGGATAAAGTATAAACATCTTCTTCTTTTTCCTCTCCCACATCCTCTACGCTCACATCAGCTGTCTTCATATCGCATTCAATAACATCTCTTCATCTCTTTTTTGGTCTTCCTCTACCTCTTCTTCCTTCAACATTCATTTCTACAACTATTCTTAAGGCTTCCGATTCTTCTCTTCTCATAACATGACCAAAGTCTATTTTTTCTCATCTTATCCACAATTGACGTACACCTATACTTCCTCTTATATGCTCATTTCTTATCCTATCTTCTCTAGTCACTTCAAACATCCACCTAAGCATTCTTATCTCTGCTACATTCATTCTCTGCTCTACTTTCTTATCAACCGCACAACAATCTGAACCATACATCATAGCTGGCCTTATTACAGTCTTATAGAATTTACCTTTCAGCCTCATTGGAATTCTTTTATCGCATAAGACAACAGATGCTTCTCTTCACATCAACCACCCGCACTTAATCCTGTGTCATACATCCTCATCAATACCACCGCTCTTTTACACACTAATCTTAAATACTTGAGACTTTCCACCTCTCCAAACACGTCCTGGCCNCTCCTCTCCAAACACGTCCTGGACTATTGTCACTGATCTCCATATTTCACCTACCTAGTGTTCTCCTTTATCAAACTCGTACTCTATATACTCTGTCTTACTTTTACTTATAAGAATAAGTAAACCCTTTTCTTCAAGAGCTGATCTCCACACCTCTAGCCTTTGATTAATTTCCTCCCTATTTTCTCCTATTAACACTATATCATCAGCAAACAACATGTACCTCTCCTTGTATTTCTCTAGTAATTTCATCCATCACTATAGAGAATAAGGGCTTAAATCAGAACCTTGATGCACTCCTACTCTTACCTGAAAACCTTCTGTTACTCCTCCTACACTTTTTACTCTGGTACAAATGCTATCATACATATCTTCTATTATATTAATGTACCTTTTCAGGACTCCTTTTCTCATTAATGCTCACTTTAAAATGTCTCTCGGTACTTTATCATACGCTTTCTCCAAATCTATAAATACCATACACAGCTTTTTCTTCTTTTCACTAAATTTTTCTATTAGTTGCCTCACACAAAATACTGGATCCATTGTTGACTTACCAGGCATAAATTCAAACTGGTTTTTAGATACTAATGTCTCGTTTCTTATTCTCTTATCTATTACTTTTTCCCAAATTATCATACTATGACACATAAGTTTTATGTCGCTATAATTTCCACACTCCTGTATGTCACCTTTACCTTTAAATATCGACAACACAATACTATTCCTCCATTCATTTGAAATTTTCCCTTCTAATAAGATTTTATTTAAAAGTTCCTTCAACCACCTTATGCCAACACCGCCTAATATTTTCCATACTTCTACTGGCACTTCATCTGGTTCCACTGCTTTATTCTTTTTCATTGATGCTACTCTTATGCCCATCACTAATTTAAAATATGTGGATGGATACCATTATTAGTTTTAAAATTGGTTGTCTAGTAATTTTTTTTTTTTTTTTTAAAAAATTATTAAAAAACCAAGAGATAACGTTAGTTTTCTATCACAGTAAGAAAAGGGTGGCCTAGTCAACGGTTTACCAAATAGACAGTAATGTAGGTCATAGTTACGCTATCCCGAACAAGCAAGAACTACTCAATACTCAGGTCACTATTGTAAAAATTTGGGGATCAACTGTATTTTGTACCGACGGAACGATAGTGTAACGACCAAGTGTAATCGGTCCTACTCGTTACTTTGGACCGATTACACGAGTACCGACCCATCACTAGTACTGCATCAATCTTTAATTTTCATTTATGCTGAAGAGAATTATTCAGCAACTTGTCAATGAATGAATATCTATTAATTTTTAATTTTTTTTTGTTTCCTATATATTTAACAACATTTTCAAGTTTTATAATTAAAATATAAATGAAATAGCAAATTATGAGCTATAATGAGCCTATAAAATATTATTCAATAAAAATATTGAAAGTTTTTCTTGTTAATTATATTAATTTAATCTATGTATTTAAATATTGAAATTATAACTTTGAAATAAAACTATAAGTATATTTTTAAGTTATAAGAATGACTAATTTTATTCTATTTCACTACAATATCATGCAAATAATAAGATATTATTATTATGTAAAAGTGAAGTAAATTTAATATTAGAATATGAAAAAACAAGTCTATATACTTGTTTATATAGCTCACGTTTAATCGACAAGGTACACAGTCATAATTGTTCATTAAGTATAATAAAAATAATAAAATACATTGTATTTAATACAAGAATCCACAATTAAGCTTATTAAAAATTATTTTACAACGTATTGTCATAAAGTAATTAATATAATTATTACTTAAAAATTATATGTATCATTGATATCATATTAGAATTATCAATTCGAAAAACACTCGTTTTTAAAGTGCATAGGACAGAAGTCGTGTTTTGCCTATCGTATACGATGTACAAAACTAAGACTATACATATATGCGTAATACGATGAAAACGCGGACTATGATCGAGAAATTTTCTTTTTAATTTTATTATGCTACATTATTAATTTTATTAATTATTAATTAAACACTTATAATTGAGAAAAGAAGAATGAAACTAGTAGTTTTTGCTGCTTAAATAAAAATTGATATATTTAACACATTATATAAGTAAGGAAAGAGGTTTTACTATCTAAAGAAATGATCTGTACCCTAATGTCATTGATCGCCTTGTATTAATGTAATTCAGTTTCTAGAAGGACAAATAATTCCAGTTATCAGCTCCAGTTCTACATTAAATAAATAAAAAAAAAATAGAGATTACATTATTAATTTATTCAAGTAATAATTATAATATGATTTTATAAATACAAGTTATTTGTACAGTGACTTTAATATCTATAAGCAAAATATTAATTGTTATTTTTTCTGGCACTGGTTCATTGTTACTAATATTATGAGAATGGTGATTTTTGCCGCTGATACAGTTATCTCATTAACATCTATTTAAGAGTTAATAGAGCTAAGTATGATTTAACACTGAAGCTTATGTACCATAAATGTGTTTATTGCAGTACATGTCCCATTTATTATCTTAATGAAATTTTAAATTCGTCATTAATATTTTAATTTAATAACAATACAATCAATAAATTAAGTACAAATTAACTAAGTACAGACAACTTTAACCCAATTTTAAAACTAAATAAACTAAAATTTTAAACAAATAATTAAGTTTACATACTAATTGTATTTCTTTTACATTTATTCACTGGAATAAAATATTAAGTTGTGCTTAAAATAAATAAAGTTTAAATTGCATTTATAATACAAAAGAGAAAAGAAAAACATTTCAACATATATAATTAAATCACTAGGATCAATTTATTTCCATATCACATATTTATCACATTCAGATATATTTACAAGCATCATATTTTAAAGATTTAAAAAACTTATAAGTTTTTTTGTAATATTATTTGTCATTATTAGTAAGGGACATATTAGAATTCTGAGAGAATTTTGTTACTTTACTTTTAGCTGACAAAAATATAGGAAATAGTTTATGGCGTTTGATTCGTTTTACAGGAGCTTCATTGGTAGTTAAGGTTTCAGGTCCATTTCTATCTACTTGGATTGTTAATTTTGATATTTTTTGTTGTTTTTGATCTACACTTGATTCTGAATTGGAATGACGGAATGTACCAGGAACATTCTACAACATATAAAACAATATTTCTATGTAAAAAAAATTATACAATAAATGTTATTAAATACAAAAAATAATTAAATGAAACGCAATTTTGTAAAATTATATAATATTTAGATAGTAATATACATAGAATGTTCTGTAAGTAAGGAAACAGATCAGTTGTTACAAACAATGGGAATAATAGAAATCTGTTTCCTTAATTACTGAACACCCAATATAAGTAAATAACTGGCTTGTACAGGGGAAGGCAAAAAGACATAACCCCATGAAATTTATGTGGCGAAATAAATATAAAGATATAGTTTTTCCAAGATAATTTTAATTAGTACTTATAATAATGTGATACATAACTATAATCTTACAAATTGTTCAAATGATGTTTTATCCTCATCTTCAGGTATTTGTTTTGAATATTTTTCAGATGACTGAACTAACTGAGAAGATAATTTGATGTTATAGTCTTCTTCGTTGGGGGTGAAAGAAACTCTTGTACCCAAAGAATGGATTGGTTGATCTATTTCTTCGCAGTCTAGTTGTTCGCTCTCTGAAGATTCCTGGTTGCCTTCTCGCCATTGTTCTGTATTTTCACAAACACCAAGGTCTTGATACGATGTCCCTATAAAAAAGGCCAAATGTTATAAATATTAATACTAGTACAAATTTATACTCTTGACTTTTAAAAAAACAGTTAAATTTTTAAAAACATTTCTATGTGTTGTTAGTTCTTTATACTTTTAAAAAAGGTATAAAATAAAGTTACATTATTTTTTTATAAATAAAAAATATTAATTATTAACAATATTTAAATAATGTTGATATTTTTTCTCAATGTGATTAATTTAGAATTGAAATTTATCAGAAAATAAAAGACTGAAATGAGCAGAATTATACATATCTGAATTGATAATTTATTAGAAATTAATATAACTAATTTTTTTCAATTATTTGTTTAATACACTAAAATCAGAATTTTGATAAATTGAATTTTACTACAATCATACTAACTTTTAAATCCTATAAAACATATAAATACAATTTAGTACATTAATTATCAATTAAATTTATTTATTATTGCATAAAATAGTCAAAATGAAATAAAATTTAACATTTAATAAAATTAAATAATGGTGGATTTAAATAATGTAATTTTTTTTAATTAATGAAAATACAAGCTATAATACATAGAAATAGTAGGTTTAATGTATAAATAGTATTAATAAAATTCCTAAACAAGATATTTTTAAAAGAAATGTACAGGCAGAGGCATAAAAAATTATAAGAGTTTTGCTCATATAATACTTTATTCTGCAATTAAAAACTATTTTAAATGCACTTTTATAATAAGTGTTTAAACAATAAAATAAAATTTTCACATGAAAATTATGTACACTGCTTACCATAAGTATTCATCTTCATAAAGCAGCAAAAATAACAAATTAAATAATATTAATATATATGCATTAAGTATTGATAATTATTCAAATACAAATTAAAGTATAGGCCCAATCACAATTTTTAAATGCGAAACATTTGCAAAACTCATACCTACTTGATAAAACGTATACAATACAATAATAAATAAACACTCCCAACATACGTGCAACACACAAATTGGCTAGGTTTAAGTTAAAAATAAAATATTAAAAATAAATTTTACAAGTGTCTTAAAATTTCAAACTCAAATACTAAACAAAACAAATTAAATTACTATTAATAGTAAACTATTAAAATAAATTATTAAATACAAGTTAAGATTCATAAAATTTGAATAAAATATTCTGTATATGCAAAAGGAACTAATTATGATCTAATAATTTGTTAAACTGAAAAAAATACTAAAAAAATTATTTCATTGGAATTTGTTAATAAATAAGAGTAATTAAATAAAAATTAACTTCATTGGAAGTTATCAATAAAATTAAAAATCAATAAATCAATATATGATTAACTGAATAAATAACAAAATAATAGATATAAATCAAAATAAATTTAAATTAATAACATAATAAAAATTCATTTTTAAAATTAAATAATTGTATTTTAAAACTAATTGTAAGCAATAGAAAATAAATGAAGAAAAGAAAAGCTTGTAAATTTCAACCAATAGATTCATCGTCTCGTCCCTTACCTGGACCAACACATATTGAATATTGGCTAGAATCATCTTCAAGATCATCTTGGCTGCTCATACGGCCTTCAAACAAACATAAAGTACTATTATTAATAAATAAATGTATGTAAATTTATGTATTAATTATGATATTATGAACTCTGATTTTTGAGATTAAATTCAATCAAAACCCTTAAATTTGATAAAAGAAAATTTTTTTTTACAAAAATGAAAAAGAAAAAAGTCCAATTTGATTTTAAAACCAAATCAAGGACTCGGACTTTGGTTCGAAAATCTCAGTTCAAACATTATTTATTAATTAATATAATATAAAAATAACAACCTCTTAATGAGAAATTTCTTCCATTTGGTACATTTCTATAAAGTACATTTTCTAAATATGATAACCCATTGTTATTAATAATGTTAAATCCACACATTGTTTCTATCTGCTTCCATCTATGTACTCTTTCAGCCAATTCATGTGTGACTTCATTTAATGAGGTTCTATTCATTTTTTAAAGATATTGTGTAAAGAAAATACAAAAAACTATTTATGAATAATTGTAGATACAAACCTAGCTTCTACTATACTTCGATCAACATCATCAATTGATTTTCCATGTGTTGACACAAATACACCTACTAAACTTGATCGTTTTTTACGTAATTTTTCACACTAATAAAATTTAATATATAATACAATAGTATATTTTATATATAATATATATTATAAAATATACATACTCCAAAATACTTGAAAAAAAAAAAAATACAATTCAATGTAAACTATTTGAATACAAGAAATGTTCATACTTTTTACCCTCAAAATACCAAAAAATTTTTGTTAAGTATTCACTAGCTAATACCCTTATACTTATTGGAAATTAATATAACTGATATATATATTTTTTTATTGTAATTTTAGTAGTGATAAATGTGACTTAATTAATAAATAGTTGTAGAAAATTTTATTGTAGTTTTATTGTAATGTTGATATTATTGTAAAATGTAGTTTTTCTATATATAATTTGAAAAATTATGACAATTATACTTATTTATTTTATAACATCTAAAGCTTAATAAAAAAAATTCATTGAGATTTAGATTTTTAATAAAAATAAAAATTTTAAAATCTAGACTTTATTGTAATAGCACTTTAGATATGATAATTGTGAGTCAAAACATAGGCCATTAATATCAGAAGCAAACATGGAATAATATTTTTAATTTGAAAAACTATTTCTTATGAAGTGTCATAATAATTCTTGCACAAGGAACTGAAAAATGTAAAACCAATATTGTATACTAATACAAAGTATACAAAATACATAGCATTGTAACTAAAAACTTATTAATATTTATTTAATTTTTTTTTAAAGTATTCATTAGTCTTTTTTATGTTGTTCAATCTAAAAATTGTACTATATTTTTTTATTTTTTATGTTTTTTCAAACTTGAAAATATTATATGAAAATAATGAAATAATAATATTATAAAATATTAAAAAGTAGATTTTCTTGTAGTTTTTATGGTAGATAATCAAAATTTTATTTTCATATCAAAAAAAATTTTTTATATACTATTATGTGTATATTAGCATTGATAATAGTATATTGTTCACAAAATACAAATATATGATTTTTGTGGCTTAAATTAATGTTATAAGTATATTTTTTTTTTTTAATAATCTTACTTATAAATTAAGCCTTATTACACTCCAGTAAAGCTTAGACTTAAATATTAACCACATGTGTAGGTATAATAAAAAAATTTTAACTTACAGCTTCTCTAGCTTGTTGTAACTGTTTCTCAGCACTAATTTTTTTCTTTATATAAGATTTATTTTCAATTTCATGTGTTAATTGTAACCATTGCTGCAATCCATGTGGTGGTGTCCAACAACGATCATCTAATTCTCCTTCAGCTCTAGCTAACTCTCCACGTAACATCTAATAGTTTTAATCAGAGTTAATAGTTAAGATCTTGATATTTAAGTCAAAATGTGAAAACCCTAGTGATATTTAGACCAATTTCCATGCATTTCTTAAAATATATACAAGTTACAAATTATTATAATTTATTGTACTTTTTATCATTCTTTGGCTGATTCTATGTCCATATTTAATGTTATGAAAATAAATTTTCACCTTATAAACTTTTACATTCAAAACTTCAATCATACAAAAGACAACACAGCATCAAATAAAACATTATGAGTTTAATGAGATTTGTGGATTAATTACTTAATATAAATCATTATTTTAAACAAAACTGAAAATATTACTTCAATTTCATTCTTTAGTTGAGAAATTTCAACATCAGAGTATGAAGATTTTAAAGTTGAGGAATTATCATCTTTTGTTTGTTGTTCTTGTAATTTTTTTTCTAAATTAGCTTTTTCAGAATAAACATACTCTTGTTCTTGTTTAGCTTTTTCCAATTCTTTCTAAAATATTATAAATACAATAAAGATTATAAAAAAAGAAATTTAATATGTTCATTTTGTATTAAATTTCAAAATTAATTACTTGTAAATCTTCAAGAGCATTTTCTGCCTTTTGTAAACTTTCCATATCTTTCATCATTCGTTTTAAATGACGAGTAGAACTTTTATTTTGGTTGTATGCATACCAACACCCAATCAATGCTCCCAATAATAATGTAATGAGTATAATATCTTTAACATGAGTTACAGGTTCTATAATAAGAATAATATAAAGAAAATATAATTGAATATATAAAATGTCAGAAACCAATATAGGTAACAATATTATACTTATACCCGTAATATTAATATATACAGGCGGGTGTAAGGTATTATTACATTTTGTTGTATTAATGTATCAATTTTATTAATAAAAAATCATAACAAAAAATAAATTATTTTTCCAAATCAAAAAGTGTATTACAAGTGATTTTGTAAGCTTTTTATTAAGAAAACAACATTTAAGTTATTATTTTTTATGAAATTTCCTTTACATGAGTTTTACATTAATAATTTAGTGATATTTAATATATATTAGTGATGGGAAATATCGAATAGTAACTATCGAACTAATCGATAGTGACACAATATATTCTAATAGTTTTTAAAACTATTCAACAGTTTGTGCTAAAAATAAACTAGTCGGTTGTTTAAAAACAAATCGAATAGTTATTCGATAGTTTATGATATGGATTAGTCCTAAATTTTAATCAACTCATTTTAATGAGCATAAAAATAAGTAAGGAATATCATAAAAAAAAAAACACATTTGACTTTTATGGGCCATCCTAACATTCACCCATGCTACATATCTACTCTCTAAATATAATTGCTTGTAGCTCAATAAGTATTTGTTCTGATATTACATACAATACAAGAAAATCTCAAAAAATAATTATTTTAAAATCTCGAAAAAAAAAAAATTATTTCTGTATTAAAAATTACTAATAAAAAAAATTACATGCATAGTTTACAGATATAAAAATTGAAAAAAAAACTCAAATTTTGATAATTGTATCAAAAATTATAAGAGTGAGTTAGATCAGTGTTTTTTTCCACGACCGGAATTATTGTGGGCTGTCCTGGAACTGCCGTTAGACATTACTTCAGGGCGACCTACGCCGTCTCTATAATTCACATCACCACGTTGTGAATCGGCCTAAAGTTAATCAAGAGCTGTTTCACAACGTGGTGTGCCTTCCCACCCGTTATATTGGAAGGGTTAAAAAAACTCACAACACAAACTACAAACAACGCAAAAACAAGAACCTAAGGTACCGGTCTAAACAAGCGTCTCAGGTCCTCCTGTACCGGGCGACGTGACTGCCTCTGTTTCAAGCGTTCTGCTTCCTCCTTCTTTCTCAAGACGGATTCAGCGAACGATCCGAAAAGTGGTCGCACGTCGGCGCGGCTTCTTTGCGAATACGGTGAAAGAACTCGTTGTTAAAGCAGCCGTAGCCGAACATCACTTTGGTGAGACAGAATGTCATCTCACCGTGAATCCGGTTCATCATTTGTCCAACCGATCGGGTTTTATGAGAGACCTGGTCCACTCGCCTCTCGTTGTTTCCTCCGAGAGGAGAGTCCGCCACCGGAGCATGGTCATCCGCCTAAATGCCAGCCGGTCTGCGGGTTCGAAGGGCCGGCTGCATTCTCGGAGTGCGGCAGTGACGACAGGATATCCGCCGCCACTCAACGGACACCGTTCAGTACACTGAAAGGTCCGGATCGCCGCCCGGCTTTGTACCCTGAGTAGGGCTTTTCGGTTCGTTGACGAATATTCATGAGTAAACGCCCAAACCGGAGACCCATACAGGAGACCGAGTGTAAAACGCTGACTAAGAGTCTGCGCCGCATCTCCCTTGGTCCTTCCAGATTGGGCATAAGTCCCGCCAGGACATTCATGAATTTTTGGGCCCGAACTTGAGACGCTTGTCTACGACCCGTCTTAGATAAGTCATGGAGTCCTTAAGTGGGATCTCCACCCCCAAAACGTCGAGTCGCGGAGGAGTGAACTTGTACCTCCCTGTGAACAGGACCTTGTCCAGGGCGAGGCTCAATCCACACCCCTCCTATAGGATCCAGGCGGTGACTACGCTGAGCGCGCAATTTGCACGAAATACACCCTCCTCGGACGAGGCGCCTTCCGCTACCACCAGCGTGTCGCCCGCGTAGCAGATGACGCGCACGTGCGATGGTAGCGGAATACGGAACACCGAGTCATACGCGATGTTCCACAGCAAATGACCGAGAACCGACTCTTGCGGAACGTCACCCGTTACGGATCTGAACATCTCAGTCTCATCAATATATAAACCACCAAATTCCCCTTTCATAGCCCCCAATTTCAAAACCGAAGGCAGTAAACAACACAATCCTAACATAGACATGGGTGATTTCAACAGCCACAGTTCAAGCTAGGGCTATACAAAAAACAAACGATGTGGCGAAGCAGTAGAAATCTGGGCAAAAGTGAGGACATGGTACTGATTCACGACAACAAACTACCACTATCTTTCAATAATGGTCGGTAGAAGAAAGGATACAACCCCGACCTTATATTTGTCAGTGAATCTATCAGTCAACTCTGTACCAAAAAGATGAGAGACCTGATTCCAAACACACAACATAGGCCCATAATTTGTCAGATTGAGGCAGTGGTAAGACCCAATATTGTCCCATTCCAAAGGAGATACAATTTCACGAAAGCAAAGTGGAACGTTTCTCGGAAGCCCTCGATTCAGACATAGACAATCTCGAACCACTACCCGAATACTATGAATCCTTTGTAGAGAAAGTAAAACTTATATCCCGGAAACATTATATACTTGAACTATCAAAGAAGATCATGGACAATTATAACTCATATATCAACATATCCTGAGGCAGAAAGGACGACCAGATGGAGAAATAAGATAATCAGTACTTCCAGCTTGGTGCCGAACGAGTCACTTCCACCTGGTCATAATGAAACATGGCAGGTCTGGCTAACACTAAACAGACTCAGGACAGGAATAGGACGAACCAGTGGAGTAGATACAGGAGGGTTTAAACCCTCTCCAGAACCAAAAAAAAAATTATTTATAAATAATGTAGAGGTACGATTTAAAATTATTTTTTATTATTATTTTTTTTACATTTTGTTAATAATATTATCCATTAATTTTAAATAAATCTTTAAATATTAGTTAGTCAAAAATTTAATATGAAATAAACCCCTTTCCAGAAAATAATAGTATCTACGTCACTGGGACAAACGAAAGATAATCTAATAAAATGGGGATTGCTAGATAGCGCAGACACATAGTGCCTATGCGGAGAAGAACAGAAAATGCAATACATCATCATATGCACAGCTTGCTCCCATACGTCCACCCCAGAAGACATCCAAAAAAGCACAAGCCAAGGAATTAACGTGACCTGGGCCGAAACAATATAAATTCACTAATAACGCCCTGAAACACTCAACAGTATTACAATATCATACTAAACATTATATTTTATTTTAATATATGTTACTTAGTGTATTTATTTTATTATGTATTATTTATTAATGTTATTAACTTATATTATTTATTTATGTTATATAGTTATGACCATTATTAGTATTACTGTTATACTATGGGCCTGACACGACAAAAAAAAAATCCAGCACAGGGGGGTCGCGGCACAGTGGTGACGTGGCATAGTTGGATCAAGCATAATGATATCTGACAGTGATTAAAATCACTATAAAAAAAAACGCCTCGATGCAAATCTTTAGATAGTGTTTAACTTTAAAAGATTGGTGGATTATTCCAAAAGCTACATGATCTGCTATTTTCTTATTAATATCCTAAATTAAAAAGGGATTATTAAAAAATATTATTTCTCATAAAAAAATTGTGTTGAATGATACACTTTTCAATAAGTTATAGCATTATAAAGTTAAAAATGTAAAAAATAAAATCGATAATTTTCATACAATAATAGCATTTGGTAGCCATTTTCACCACGAAGACAAGTCCAGAGGTCAAATTTTTTTTTTCCATAATAAAGTAGATTACATTAGCTTTAATTTAAGATATATAAAAAAGTGTCAGACCTTCCGAAACACTTACAAAAGTTAAGTTGAAAAAGTTAATTTTTTGTGAAAAAGTTATATAGGGAAATGGTCTGATTTAAAAAAAAAGTATGTGGCAGGTTAAGTGTCAGATTTACAAAAAAAATTACTAAATTATAGGTAAAGACATCAAGCATGTATAAAAAAAAAAAATTATATTAATATATTCATTTTTGAAAAAAGTTATGGCAATTTTAAGTAAAAAAAATTGAAAAAATGTCGAAAATTAGCGATTATTAAATTTGTAATTTTTTTGGGGGTGTCCTCCATTTACGGAGACGAGGGAAAGTTTTTCAATTTTTTAGGGTAATGTCTTTGACTAGATACGATTTGTGATTTTGTGATTTTTTGATGTATCGTTGAAAGAAATCGGTTCGGTGAGAGCTGAGAAAAAGTGGTAACAGACATACAAAAAAAAAAAAAACATATCATAGTAAAATTAATATCAACTTGAATATGAAAATGGACGGGTGTCCCGAAATAAATTTCGAAATTTGTAAAATAAGAACCACCCTAATGTCCAGGCTCACCGCTACTCCGAAGCCCTGCACATTTTTATCCCTGAGGGCCAAGTCCTAAACTGGGAGGCCACGTTATTCATGGACCATCCCTTCCTAAACCCGAATTGACTCACAGTCAGTTCGCCGACTTCGGCCAAGTGGGCCTCGATCCAGGTGACCAGCAGCCGCAGTTAGATCAGTCTTACTAGTACACAAATATCGCAAATGCATATTTAACTATTCAAATTTATAATTTTGAGATAATTAAATTTATTTTATTTTTCAAGTTTTCTTTAATATTAAAAAATATACTTAAAATATTAATTAAAAAAACTATAAATATAAAAAAGTATTTTAAATATTAGCCACAATCAATCAATTCTTATTATTATTTTTTTTTATATCTATATTAAAGTTAATTATAAGCCCCTAGCCAATTCTTACTTACAAGAGTAAAAGTCAGAGTTGAGTAAAGTTGTCAGAGTATCTAATATTATTATTAATATAGTCTATTTAAATAATAAACTTCTGATTTTTATATAATATTTTTAGTGATTTCACTATAATTGTTTTATTTATTTTCCAGCAGAGCCAGTGAAATTAAAATTATTTTTTATACATATATACAGAGTGATAGACTTATCATGAACTACTTATTAATTAAAATATAAAAATAACATTAATAATTTGTCTCTTTTAGTTCTATATTTCTCTCAATTTTTTAATTATTAAGTTTTTTTATGTTCATCCCTTTTACATTTTAAGGGTGTCAACTTTAATTTCTCAAATGGCAACACCCCTAATTAACTAGCTTAATTAATAGATAATGATCAAATTAAGAAAATGACTAGTCGATAACAACTTTTGGACCACTATTTAGGAAATTACTGATATAATTATATCTAGGTAAGAGAAAGAGTACAACCAGGAAATGTTTAGTTATAAAAATATTAGCACCTACTCTTCACCTCCAGTCATTACTTTAAATTATTAATAACTTCTAAATTGTTAATATAACAATGGTGTATTGTAAGTTCTGAGCTATCACAATTTTTTTATTTAAAAATAATTTTAGATTTTATAAGTTATACCTTAAGAAATAACAAAAAAAGGCACAGTTGGGTCGCGACATATTTGGGATAAGTATACATGATTCTGACAGTGATTAAAATCACTATCATAAAAAACGATTAAGTACTTAATGTTAAAAAATTTCGAAATTTATCAATTTCAAATATCGTAATGTATTGGGAGATTTCCACCATTTACAGAGAATGAGGGAATTTTTTTCAATTTTTGTAGGTAATGTCTTTAATTAGATACAATTTTTGACCTATTGACGTTTCGCTGAGGATAATTCAATGAGAGAAAGTAGTGACAGACAAAAAAAACATATCTTGGTAAAATTAATATTTTTTAAGCTTCGCACCAAAGCCAAAAATTTATAATTTCTGAAATAGCATAAATATGATTACTTTAAAAATCCAAATGGCTGTTAGAAAAAAATATTAGAATGTTATTTAACATGTACACAATATTGTAAAATTGAGTATTTTATATTAAAACTCCTTAGAATATACTTAAAAAATATATATAATAAAACATTTTTATTTCACAAAAGTAAATTTGAAAAAATAAGAACATAATTATAGTGAAATCAGTGTGGATTTGTATAATTAGCTCATAAATAGATATTAAAAAAATTGTATTTGAAAAATTATTATTTCAAAATTACAGTTATGGCCAGCTAAATATGCATTTTAGACAACTTTATGATAAACATAATATGAATGCCAAAAAAATAATCAAGGATTCATATTGAAAAAAATTAATATACAGTTTAAAATTTTAGTGACACGAATCTGATAGCAAAAAAAAAAATAATTTTCTTTAAAAATCCAAGTTTAGTTATAACATTTGAATCAAAAATTTACCTTTTGGAGGGCCAAACAATACTACGTCCATAGCCTTAAGAGCAATTTTCTGTTTATGAATTGGATCTTTAATTCCCAAAACATTGCTTAAAAATTGCATATTACTAACTGCTAACCTAAGGAAATGTATAGTAATTTTGTTAAATTATAGTTATATATAAAATAAAAGAGATTATACAATCATTTTTCAACTATAAATTAAAAATGATAACAGCTATTTAAAAAATTTTTTAACTTTATTGTTAAATTTCTTAAATATACTTTATTTCAGTTATAAAAAAATAATTATGAAAGATACACTTTTTAGATAAAATGTTTCTACAATTTTATAAACATTTTAAACTAACCTAGGAAGATGAGCCCCTGTTACTCTATATTTAATAAATATTGGAACATATTGAGGTAACTCGACAGAAGTAGATAACCATTCACTAGTTTGTTCAACAGTCCAATTATGAACCTAAAATAATATAATAATAAAAATAAATAAAATTTACAAAAATAAAGTTATTACAAATATAATAAATAATTTTAAAAGTACAACACTCACCTCAGATTTTACCCAAGCATCCCATAGATCTTTAACTGAAATATACATATCATCATTTTGATGGAAAGCTTTTTGACGTTTTTCAGCGCCATTTTCATATTTTAATTCTTCCCGCAAAAACTGAAAATGCAAAAATAATAATAATAATAAGTTTCTTGAACTGAATAAAAAATTCATGTTTATACTTTTCTAAAAATTTCTTTTTTTACTTTATAAAATTTTAGCATCGATGCGAAACTGAGAAGGTATTAATATTAATATAATGTGATTTTTTTTTATTTTTTTATTTTAACTGTTACGACTTTTTCTTAGATCTCACTGAACCGATTTCTTTCAACGATACATCAAAGGATTACAAATTGTATCTAGTCGAAGACATTACTCTCAAAAATTGAAAAAATTTCCCTCGTTCTCCGTAAATGGGGAAAATCTCCAAAAAAATTACAAATTTAAAAATCGCTAATTTTTGAAATTTTTTTTACTTAAAACTGCCATAACTTTATCAAAAATGAACAAATTAAAATAATTTTTTTTTTATAGAAACATGATCTCTTTACCTATCATTTGGTATATTTTTTTATAAACCTGCCTACAGGGGGGATTAAAAGTTTCCGTAGTTAAAAACGTGCTATTTTTGTGTTAAAATTTAAAATTTTATATTTTAAATTGCTCTAAAATTTTGAAAATTATATAGATCAACACACATTTTTGTTTCTAAAAACTTTATATATACTTCTTTCATCCAACATACTTTTTTTTAAATCGGACAATATCACCTTATACAGGAGGCGTTTAAAAATTGGAAAATACGTATAAAATGTAGAAAATTTTAAACTTAACTTTTGAAAATGTTCCGAAAATTCTGCGACTTTTAAATATATGTTAAATTAAAGATTATTACATACTATAAGTTAAAAAAAAAATGTCCCGAGGACCTATCTTCTATATGCAAATGTCAGTCGATGTTGAACAAAAAATAGGAGTTAATTTTTCTTTTGGAATAATTCACAATTTCTTAAAATTAAACACTATCTACATTTTTGCATTGAAGCGTTTCTTATAATAGTGTTTTAATCACTGTCAGGTATAATCTATACTTGTCCCAACTATGTTACGTCCTCATTGTGCTACAATTTTTAAATTTATTTATACCTGAATTAACACATTAAAAGATACAATAAAATTAATTTCTTAAAATAAATTATTTAAAATTTTTATAAAATATGTTGGTAATAAATGTTTAATCAAAATTTATTATTTTTTGGTTTGTTTTAAAAGTAAACCAAGAACAAATTATATAAATTGTTTTAATTATTCATATTTAATTTGCACCATCTAAAAAATTTTCTATGCTTGAGGTTGAATAACTTTTTTGATTAGATAATCTTTTATGATAATCTTATAATTCCTCTCTTCGGTGACAAACTAAACACTCCAACCAGAGAACCTCTAAGCGTATTTGAAACAAATAAAAAGAAAATAGATCATATTCACTGAAAATATTATATTTTTGACTCGATTACTCATAAAAAACAAGTTGTCTAAAACGTTTTTCTTTCTTTAATCGTTTATTATATTAAACAAACTTTAATTTTAAATAATTTAGAATGACGTAAGTATTCCTTTGCTATGCAAATTTTACAAAATCGATTAATTTTATCAAAATTTTTTAGCTTTAGTTCCTAAAAACTCTTACACCAAGATTTCAGAGAGTTTTCTTTTTTTATTTTACAATACATAAATTAAATTGTATTAACATAAATTTAATGTATGTTTAATGAGGTTAGATTCCTTGGAAAATTATCAAAATTAAAAAGAAAAAAAGGTTCTTATGATTTTTAAATTTCTCTTTATTGACAAGACTGATGGGAATTTTTTCAAAATTAATAAAATAAACTGTGTAGTAACAAAAATTGAAGTAAGTAACGATCGTAAAAAAATTGTCAACATTATGAATACTTATACTTAATTTATATATAAATATGCCAAATACATAAATGAATTAATATTATATATTATAATAATGTTTTTATAAAAACAATGAGTTACTTAAAGTGAAAATACATTTTAAAAAATAATAAATAGAAACTTTTTTTTAATCGACACCATTTTGTGAATTATATCAAAAAAATCGAAAAATATATAAAAATATTATATGGTTTTATTTTTACTAGAATATCTAGATTAATAATTATTATTTATATTTATATAAATTATATATTAAATTTAATATATATTTAATAATATTATTATTATTATTATTATTAGTAATATTTAAATATAAACTTATGGGATCTTTGCACCCATAGTCTACATCCAACTTCGTCTAATTATTAATGCAATTTGGTACATAATAATTAATTGTTTTTATTTTTCAATGAGTATACCATTAAAAAACTCTTTTTAATTAATTTTTTTTAAATATTATAAATTTGAATGAATAAAAAATTTAACTCAAATAAATCAAACAGTGATCATTTAGCATTGTTTTAAGGTTTTCTACATGTTGAAGTTGTCTACATGTTTTTACACAATGGCGCTGACCTAATAAATAAATCCATTATTAAAATTCAGTAGTACTGTCGATTGATTTCTCCTTAATACTTAAACCATTGTCATATTCGACAACGATGTATCAATAAATACATTGCAGCTAAACACGCCTAAAATTCAAAGTGTGAATTTTAAGAATCAAAATCGTTAAAATATTATTTAAATTCGTTTGAAAACCTTATGATTGTTTGTAGAAAATTGTTTTAATATTTTCAAAATGTGGTTTCCGTACGTGTAAAATAAACTTATAAAATTTAGAATGGAACTGTTGCTTATATTAAAGAATTTTTAACAAGAAAATTATTCAATTCACCCTTGCCCCTCCCCTCCTAAATACGCTTCTATGTCATAATTTAAAAATATTATCAAGTACCTACTAATTAACATACGGAAACCACATTTTGAAAATATTAAAACAATTTTCTACAAACAAACATAAGGTTTTCAAACGAATTTAAATAATATTTAGATTTAGATTCATAAAATTCACACTTTGAATTTTAGGCGTGTTTATTGATATTAGAACTATCAGCTTTGCTTTTCTTCCTCCTCTACAAAAATAATAATAGATAACCATCATATAAATTATATTAATATCTTTGAAACATTTAAGTAGCTCAGAGGAGCTACTTAACAACACAAGTTTTAATATTAAATTTACCGTGTTTTTTTTTATAGAGGCTAATTATTTGAACAATATCCTTCATTTCTTTTTAAATACGGATTTATTCGACAGTAATCTAAATATTTTGAAACCATAAACATTTGACAGTTACCCGAGTGAAAGAGTAATGAAGTATAATTAAAAGGTTACAAGTAAGGTGAAAATAGGAAGAGCTGTAAAGAAAAGTTGAAAACTTTACAATCATTAAATTAAAATTTGTATTACCATATAATTTATGTTTTTTTGTTAACTTATTTAACAGATTTCAACGAATTTTTCAAAGTACCTATGGAAAGTATATCGGCGAGCCCGGCAATAATTTTGTTTTAAATCAAAAAACACTGGCAAAATTGAGGGTTTTTCTCAAAAAGATGTAGACATTATTAGAGATGCATCATAATTAACACATTACGTTGGGTTAAATGATTGTAAAATTATCTTTGCATACCTGTTGTATGAAATAATTTTTAAGTTAAATTATTATGATATTATATAATAGGATATGTTTTTTCTAATAATCTGTATTATTTTCGGGTATTGAAACTGTAATTTATTTGACCTCAACATTTAAAGTATTGTAGTTTGACATAAATATGAAGTTCTGTATCCAGTATAAATGATTAGGAATGATTTCAAATAAAATAATGTTATACTCTTATTTTTCTTAATTTTTATTATCCTCTAAATATAATTTTCATTATCATATAATAATTATTAGATGCTAATGAAAATTTGTATTAATGAATTAGATTCTAATATATCAATACATGTTTAAAAAGATTATAAGTTATTTGACGTTATTATAAAATCGAAAGAAATTATTGGTATTTTCTTTGTTACTGAACTACCTAATACTTCTTTCCAGTACATAGAATTTCATAAAATATTACAATTTTTCAGGATGATTTGGCTTTCATTAATCTAAATTAATTTTTTGTTAAAAGTGAATAAACATTTTTTTTTTTAATAGTATAATTCAGTATTTTAAGATACAAATAAAATTATATTTGCAGTAAAGAGATTTTTTGGAAACCAATAAAAAAATAAAAACACATCAGAAAGTATTATACTATTTAAGAATTTATAATTGGCTTTTAGGTAACAAAAATGTTTAAATAATAATTAAATAAATCTATTTTTTTATACTTGCCCCTTATATAGAAATGGTAAATATACATATTTAAAAAGAAAAAAATTAAATTTTGTGTTATTATTATTAATAATAAATAGGAGAAAAACAGGCAAAGTAAATAATGTGAATATCTCAAAATGTAAACAGCCTAAATAAATTTTATAAGCTCAATGACTGAAAGTGCAATGTGATAACTAATTTAAACTAACATTTAGATAGTGATTACATTTGTTTAACAATGCTAACTCATTTTTTTTTTGAAAATGTAACATTTTTGTAAAAATTTTCATGATGAAAAAAATACTTACCCTTTTTAAATGATTGATAGAATACAGTATGACCAATTTTATGTAAAACGCTAATTTTCTTAAAAATTTTTGAAATTTTATATTTTTTTAAGAGAAAAATTATTTAATTAAAATATTAAAAATATTATATACTCAAATAATTTTTTTCTTCATTTTTTTTTAGGAATAAAAAATCTTAACTTCAATTTTAGCTTCGATGCGAAGCTGAGAAGGTATTAATTTTACTATGATGTGTTTTTTTATTTTGTGTCTATGAACGCTCAATCTCAGCTCTCGCTGGACCGATTGTGATGAACAATATGTCAAAAGATCACAAATTGTATTTAGTCGAAGACATTACCCTCAAAATTTAAAAAAATTTAGTCGTTCCCCGTAAACAGAGAAAATCTCACAAAAAAAATTACAAATTAAAAAATTGATAATTTTCGACATTTTTTCAATTTTTTTTACTTAAAATTGCCATAACTTTTTTCAAAATAACCGAATGATTATATATATATTTTTTTTATAGATACCTTAGGTAGTTACCTATCATTTTATATATTTTTGTGAACATTTGACCCTTTACCTGCCCACAGGATAGGTTTCAAAATGGTAACTTTTTTTTACAAAAACTTAACTTTAATTTGAAAAAAAAAAAATTTGACCTCTGGACTTGTCTTCATGATGAAATGACTACCGTATGCAAAAATATGATATTTTTGTGAAAAAATTCTTAATATTATATTTTACATTTTTTAACATTATGATGCTATAACTTTTTAAAAAATGCATGAATCAATTCTATTTTTAATAACTTAAAAACTTTGAAATTTGAACTAGCTTAAATAGCTATTTTTTTCAACCTACGTTAGCGACGTACGGTTTTCGAGTCGGTAAAACTTGTTTTACGCGCTTGGGGTACAAGGTGACAACCCGCATATGGCAATGAATTTTTTTATTTTTTTCTTAAGTTAGAATAAATTTTCAACTGCTTTGATTTATATCTCATTTAGATTCAATAACTTCAATTAAGATCAAGGATCCCATCACTGTAGTCGCCAATTGCGAGAAGAAATTTTTTATTCATATTAAAATTATTTTACTATATTTTAAGTTTTAGCTTCTATGCAAAGCCGAGAAGATATTTTTTTGTGACTATCATTTATTTTCTCTGCTCTAACTTGACCTACTTTTTTCAACAATACGTCAAATGATTACAATTCGTATCTAGTGAAGATATTACCCTCAAAAATTGATAAAAATTCTAATTTATCAATGAAACAGTTACTTATCCCATGTTCTCCATAGAGACCGACAATTAAAATCATTCATTTCTATTGTTTTAAAAATATTTATTGACGAATCATGTTTGATATGATAATTTGATTTGATAGGTTTCAAATACAAAATTAAATCATTTTACTTTGTAATTTAATAATTTTTTTACTCTATTTGTGTGTGCTACTACTAGACTATAATATTCCAAATTTGTTGGTAACATGTTGCTATATGAATCATTTCTAAAAAAAATGATTGTTAGTTTTTCCTGAATTAACAATGGATTTTTACAATTATAATCAAATTTTATAATATGCTCAATTGAGTAAATCTTTTTAACAACTTTGTTCTGACTGGTTCATTTAGTTAAAGTAAATCATTAAAATTAATTAAGTTCTGAATATTTCAATTGCAGAATCTTTTTAAACACCAAAAGTTATTAGGAAATAATTACTATTACTTCTATTTAAGTTATCTATTAAGATAAAAATGCAAAAAAAATATTGAGCTACTCTGATAAATTTACTATAAATAGTAATTATAAAACTTCCTAACTGCATATTAATCTTAACGATACAATTTTTTTAATTTTCATAAAATTTTCTATTTAATGATGTCAATTTCAAACTTGCCAATTGAGCTAAAAGTTATGGTAAAATAAATTAATTTTTTTTCATTATAAACATTCACAAAAACAACTTTAAACTATTCAAAAAATAGGTTAAATATGTCATTTTCCTTATTTTTAACATATTAATAATCAAAATCAGTATAAATTTAAAACAATTTTTTTTTGTTCTTAATTATTTTTTTTTTATATGTAAATACTTATTTTTTATTAATAAGTAAAAATATTACTAATAATAAATTAGTTTTATAATAAAACTTAGAAGTAATAGAAAAAGTTTAATTGCACATTTGAAAGCATCACGAAAAGTTGATTTAGAAAAGTATATTTTTGTTTCTGATGAAAGTTCCTTGTAGTTATTCATAAGTAACTTAATTTTTTTATTAAAAAGTATTGCATCAATCCCTTTAAATTTTTATACACGTTAAAAGTATATGAATATACAACTCCTTTTTATTTTTATAATATCTCCGTAAAAATTTACAATATTATATTATTGAATACCAATTTCATACTAAATTTAATTACTATAATTATTATGTATTCATATATTATAATTATAAATCGGGATAAAATTAAGGAAATAAGAGTTATGGTTGCTTTTGAAATAATCTACCAATCTCTTAAAATTAAACACTATCTACAGATTTGTATCAAAGCGTTTCTTATGATAGTGATTTTAATCACTGTCAGATATCATCTATACTTGTCCCAACTATGCCACGTTCATACTGTGCCGTGACCCCACTGTGCTACTGTTTTTATAAATAGGAACCCCTGTTTTTAACTTGATAATAGAATACAGAAAAAATGATTAAACATTTTGTTCTTATTTTTTTGTTCTATCTGATTAATCTGTTTAATTAAACATCTGTTACAGAATGTTAAAGTTTAGTAATGATATTATATTGTTTAAGATATTTTCTATATATGAAAATTTTATCTTTTATGTCTATTGATAATATTATAATCTTATGCTCAACGCAACTTTACCATCATGAATTATTGGTCACTAATGACCAGGAACAATACTCTAAAAATAAATATTTTAATTGAGACAGAGGATGTTGATATTTTTGTATGCAAAAGATAAAAATGTTATATTTAGTAGTTTGTAAGATCAAATAAGATAAATCTTGTTGAAATAAATTAAAATCAATTAAATATTCCTATATTGTGATACTTTAGGATAGAGTGAATAATTTTTTAAAAAATTAACTTTAACTCAATACAGATGAATATAAAATCAATATCAAAAGCAAAATTTTATAATTTGAGATAATATTGCAATACTATTATTTATTAAAAGATATTTGATAACAATACTTAGTACTATTATATGCTCCTAAACTTATCCTACTTTGCTGGATTTACTTGCAGACACTAATATATAATTAATTTTTATTAGTTATAAAATATATGTATGTGGAATCAATGTCTACTGAATAAATATCTCTAAACTTAATTAATCTCTTAACTTAAGTAATTTAGTTTTAGACTATGCCTCAAAGAAAGGAATAAAAAAAATAATAAAGCTAAAACAATAGTTACTTACATCTACTGATTCAGAAAGATCAATTGCTCCATCAGCATCATCATCAAGCTGACGATGTAGCGATCTGATTGCTTCTAGCCCAATTCTATCTTGAGTAGCCATTGTTAAACATGCAATATCATCATTACATGAATCATTAACATTATCTAAAAATAAAATTTGACAAAAAAATATCAAAATATTGAAAAAAATAGTAAATATTTTATAATTATGCACAGTATGCAATATTTATTAAATTATTTATTAATATCTTTAAGAATTTGGTTTTTATACATTTTTCTTATTTTCAGTTAATTTAAAGCCACACAATAATGTCCAATAAGTAATAATGAGTCAATTATATTACAGAAATATATTATTAAATTAACGAATAACTTTGAACATTTTATCTAAATTTATATTTTTTAAATTATTATTAAAACAAGTAAAAAATTGTAGAGATATTTCTGTTTTTATAAAAAGGTGTACTAAAATATAAAAATTTAATATTTTGTTTGTAGACCTATATTATCATAAAGATATCATTTTTCTTCTTTATTTAAAGAACACTTCAAAAATTAATATATTTAATCTAAAATTCTTCAAAATTTAATTATTTGTGTAAATTTTTTATTTTGTTCTAATTTATTATTTTTTTCTATTTTATTGATTCAGATCTTTTTTGATATAAGATAAAAAGGTATTATTATATAAGATTTAAAGTAAGTTGGTTAATTTTAGAAAATAAATTTTAAATATTAGAATCCTTCTAATATGATCAGTGATTATGTGCACCCTTCACATAGTCACTGATCATGCACTCAGACCTTATAGTCCAACATGTGTACTTCATTACTAAATTAATGATAAGTTAAAAAATATTTCATTTATACAAATCAAAATAATTCTTATCACCTCCTGATTAGGTTACCAAAATTAATAAAATGCCAAAAAAAAAACATTAAAAATATATTTACTTACTAGGATCTACAGATTCTGATGTTTTGCGTATTTTAGATGAACTATAATTGGGATCATTGAGCACATCACAGATACACGGAAGCACCATTGTTGTAATCATACAAAATAAAAATGTAAGCATTTTCATGTTAAAACTCATATTAAGTTTTATAATCTTAAATTTCACTATAATTATGAAATTTTATTCTGCCAAATTGGCTGAGGAAATCGTAAAAGAATGGTTTAAACTAACGTTTATTTACACATAAAAAACACCAGTACTAGGGGGCATTATTTGATCCATATTCATTAATGAGGACCAATTAAAAACTTCTTATTAATTACACTTATACAAAAAAAAATTAGAAGCACTCACACATAAAAATTTGAAAAATATAATTCTTTAAATCCAAGATTATTAAGATACAATTTTGTTGAAATAATTGAGCTTTAAAAATAATTTCAAAGTACTGATTAGGCATGAATTCAGAATGTAATAAGAGTGCATTACGGATAAGTGGTAGTGGGAAATAGTCACTGGCATTAATTGATAAGAGTATTATATTTTCTTTGTGGGTCATAGACAATAAGTACTAAAGTGAATTTATTCATCTAGGTTGTACTGTAGAATAATCATAAATAAGGTAGCTATATCCACCTTGTTACTATGTTTATGAGAATAATGATACTATAAAATGTGGTATGACTATCGTGGTCCATACAACGAACTTATCCTTGTTTATACGAGAAAGATTATTTTTCAAATTAAAACTTTATCAAATATTTGAAAAACCTAAATTTAATATTTGATAATGATAAAATTTCTATAATGATAAGTCTACTCTATATAGGGTTTATTTTTGGTTTCAATTATTACTATTTATATTAATTAGTATGATAGTTAACATACTTATTAAATTATAACATTTTATGCTGTTAACTAATAATTGCTATAATTAGTTATAAACTATTTAGTTATTTAATGTTGTATAACATACAAAGACGAATTATTTATCATTATTTACACAAGTCGAAAAACTAAAAAAGTAAAAAAATGTCGTTGATATCATATTGCAAATCTAATAAAAAAAGTTTGGTAACATATGTTCAATGTATATTGTATCGCTCTAGATCATCTAATGCTAATATACAAGAAACTGAAGATATTGATATTACTACATCTAAAAACATGTCTGATGATAAAGTGAAAGCAATTTGTAATAAATCTCGTTTAAATGACGCACATAGGAACTTAGTTAATGGTAATTTACCATATAATGAACCCAAACATAGAATTCATTATACTGTTAAGTATAAAAGACGTATGTATGGAAGGTATGGAAATATAAGTGGTGTAGATCCTGGACTAGCATGGCCTACAACTGAAGACTTAGAGGACATAAAAGAATATGAGAGTGTTGCATACCCATTAACAATTCAAGAAATGTTCACAAGTGCTACTGAACAATTAAAAAAGGAACAATTAGAAATTGACCAAAGACAGCAACGTATTGATGAAAATTTCCAAAAACTGAATGGATGGCTAAAAGAAGTTAAAGAAAAATCTGCTAAGAAACTACAAGAAGCACAAGAAGCAAAAGATAAAAAAGCCAAACTTATTGAAGAAGTAAGAAAACATTTTGGTTATAAATTGGATCCCAAAGATGAAAGGTTTAAAGAAATGCTAACTAAAAGGGAAAAAGAAGAAAAAAAGAAAATTCGTGATGAAAAGAAAAAAATTCGTGAGGAGAAATTAATTAATTATTTAAAAAACTCTGAACAAAGTTCTTAGCAATTTGTAAAAAATATATAATTTTGTAATTGTTAAATAAGTTAAATTAGTGTTTGCCTCAATTATATACATTTGGGTTTATATCAAGTCACAAGATTTTTAAGTTTTATTATAGATGTCTTTTTGGTTTAACTGAATATATTCTAAATGTAAAGTTGTATAACAACCTTTATTTAATGCAATTTTTTTTATGGAATCCTATGAAATTAGAAAAAAATATAAATGAAACTAAAAAAGAATAAAACATGTTTTAGAAAATGATTCCATAAAATATATTTACTATGTTCTTATTTTATAATTTATTAATTTAATCTATTAAATAAGACAAGAATATATATATATACATATATTAACTGATAATTAAAACTTCTGTTCTCTCATTCTCCGTAAATAGAGAAAATCTCCAAAAAAATTAAAAAATGCCAATTTTCAAAATTTTTTTATGAGAAATAATATTTATATTCCTTTTTCATTTGACATACTTTATCTTAATCAAGATATAAATAAGGAAATAGATCATGTAGCTTTTGGAATAATCAATCAATTTTATAAAATTAAACGCTATCTACAGATTTGCATCGACGTGTTTTTTATGATAATGATTTCACTGTCAGATATCATTATACTTGACTCAACTATGCCACATCCCCACTATGCTGGGTTTTTAAAAAAATTTAACAAACAAAATGCTAAAAACTATTATAATATAAAAATTGTATTTTTATTTAAGTTTACAGTAATTTACAGTAAACAAATTCAACAAAAATTGAATTACAGTCATTTTTTTTTATAAGGACGTGTTAAAAAGTTTAACATAGGTTACAATAGAAATTAGTAATTATTTTTTAAGTGTAAAATCAATCAGATTATTTTCAATCAAGGTGATTCATTCCAAGTAATAGGTTTGCGTTCACTTTGTGTTGAATCAGTCATTCTACTTGGTCCCGCAATAGGAGATTCTTCACAGACAGCTTCACTTTCTTTACTAGGTGAAGAACTAATAGATATAACATCAGGTTCATTATGTGTTTCAGCAATTTCTACTTCTACATCTATAAAATAAAAAATAGATAAACAAAAAAGAATGTGTAAAAAAAGTTGAGTTTTATATCAGCTACCTTGAGTTGATTTAATTTCAATTACATCTCCTTCTTCTTCAGAAGACAAAACTTCAATCGGTTCTTGTTCTATAAATGAAAAAAATTATTTTTTATATAATTTTAGAACCTAACACCTTCATTTTACCTGAATCTAATATATCAGTTTCAGCTAGTATATCTGTTTCAGCTGCTTCAGTAGATTGTGAAACCCCAATTGCATCATTTGTATCACTTGAAGTTCCTTTTAAGAAAAATAATTTTATTTCAGAAACATGATATTAACATAGCTACATACTTTTGCATTAATTTAGAGCTATTAATAACTAATTTAAATAACAATGAAATGTATAAACTAGTATTTGTACAATTAATATGTATTTTAGCTCATTAATTTGTCATACTGCCTAGAAAGTTTAATTTAACTCTTAAAAATTGTATTCATATTATGCCTGAGTGCTATTTGATTTAAGAAAAAAATTTTGTACAAAATACAATCTAATAGAAATATACAAAATAAACAATTCATGAATATCTTAGATACTTTTAAAAACTATCAAAATTTGAATTTAAAAAGGTTAGAGCTTTATAAATTCTGTAATTGAAATGCAACATATTTTAAGGGATTTTTAAAAGTATAATTGTGATAAAGTGGTACTAAAGTCAAAAAGTTGTTGTCAGGGCAAAAAAAATTAAAAAATTAAGAATTGACACATACCCCTTAAGAATGCAATGATATTTTTTTGTTCATTACTAATCAAAAATGATCCTTCTTCAATCCCTCCTCTTAGTTACATAATTCTAAATTAAATTAAATTATTTATTATTTTATTCAAAAAATTATTTAAATTCTTTAAAAAAATGGTCATTTCTTATTTTTTTTTACATAATTTTTATAATAACTTGAAATCTCAATTATGACATACAGACACACATAAAATTTTAAATATCTAGTTAACAAATTATATTGGATAGAAATATAAAAATAAAGTGCATCCACCAAATTCATTTTTCAGACAGTTTTTTTATTAAATTAGAATAAGTATAATATTTCTCCAGATTTTATCATAAGATTGGATTTTATATGTAAACTACTTGTGAAATCTTTAAACAATAAATTCTTTTATAACCACTATAATAAAAAATATTCTTAATATTCCAAATTACTCCTACAAAAATATCGTCTATAAGAGAATTTATCTTGTTATTGAACTATACCTTTCTTCTATTGTTATTATTAAGACTATAATGTTTTTTAAAAACTATATTTTAAACTTTAATAAATTAAGGATCAATTTCTCTACACAAAATTCATGCACATACCAACCCAATAATGAAATTATTAGATTATCAATATTCATTTCTTACCAGACTGTATTTCGGTAGGTGTAAAGTCACTGTCATCTAATCTTGACTCAGCATCAGACGTAACATTGTCACTAATTTTTCTTTCTTCACAACTCTGATTAATTAAACTAATTTAAGACATTTATACTAGCTTATCAAAAATATGATAGTAAAGAATTTTTTTTTTTAATTTTAATAATTAACTAAATAGTGAATTAAAAGGAGGGTATTACTTATTTAAATATTAAGTTTCATAAATTAATTAAAACCATGAACTACTTAGTAGAAGTGTTGGATAATGGTTAAATTTTACACATTGGCATTTAGCATTTTTATTATTTTGATGATGTCATTATTGTTTTACACCCTTAACAATATTTCAAAGAGAAAAGCTTATTTTCAAAATTAAAAGTAGAAAAAAAATGTATATACCACTATTTATTTATTTTATATACTATACAGAATGATCAATTTTGTATAAGTCACTCATTTTCTCAGAAACTATTTAATATTTTGCAAAGGAAAATATTGTTTGCTTCAAAATCTCTAAAATAATATGTAGTTATTTCATTTGTTTCATCATTTCAGGATTAAAAAATCTAAAGTTAAATTTTTTTTTAATGTGAGTTCCTATTTTTAGTTTAATCATGATAGAAAAAAAAAATTCCAAATAATTTTTTTGTTTTATTATTTTTTATTTGATGTCTCAATTTGTTATTAGTTGTTTAAGTTTAGCAAATTTTGACCAATTTTTTATTGATATATTGCTGTATAACATACAGTAGTTATTTGTGTTATTGTAATCAAATCTAACACTTACACAGAAGAAAGAATTAATACTGAAAATAATTTGTGGCTTATTGATTGAAACAGATTATTGTTCCATTTGTAGTATAAAAATCAATTTGATCGATTTCTTTTTAAAATCTAAATTTTTACACAATTTTGTAAGCCAAACAGTTGATTGGACTAAATAAATTACAAGAACAAAATTTATGCAATTTTTTTCTCATATTAATAAATTAAAAATAGGTTACTATTAAAAAAATTGTAAGTTTATGTTTTTAACCCTGAAGAGATTAAAATAAAAATTATATAAGTACATATTATCCTGGAGATTTTTAATCAAATATTATCCTTTAAAAATTGAAATAATTAAATAATTTTTGAGAAAATAAGTACCTCATACTAAATGGATCATTCTATATATAAAAGGTAGAACATATCTAATTGACAACGCTTATAACTGTTGATATAACTAAAATTAGAACATAATAAGTACTTAACCTAAACTTGTTATCAACCCATCAAAATTAATGTAAAAAATCCCTAAAAAATTTTATTTTAGAATTTTAAATGTTAAAAAAAATAGTTTTTTTTATTATTAAATATAAATAATAAAAAAAGTTATTTTAACAAAATCTAAGAATGCAACATTTTTTTAAAAAATTGCAGAAAATTTTCTATTTTATCAACAGAATTGTCAGTTAAATTTGTTCCATCTGTATATATATATAGAGAGAGAGAGGTATTTTTAAGATTACAGTAATAAAGCTGATTTTTTTTTTTATATGTTATATTTTAAATTGCAGGATAATTTTTACCTATATAATTTTAAGGTTGTTAACACTATTACTATTAAATTTTGTAATATTAAAAGTAAATGTGTCGAGTAAGTTATACAAAATATATGGCTTATTGTAAAAATTATTTACAGCAGAAGAAACTGGTGCTGGTTGGTTTTCTTGAAAACTTATATCTTCTGGTACTTCTTCTACTTCTTCATCAACAATTGCCATTGCTGTTGCTTCAGCATTTGATGAAGAATGTTCTGGTGTATTTTCCCCAGTTGTCACTATAAAAATTATAAAATATTATCAATTCAGAATAAATTAAAGAATAAGAATAAACACTTTGTTCTCTTCCATTTTGTGCATCTGAAGTTTCATTCATATTATTTGTATCAGCAGTGCATTCTTGACTAGCTAAATCTACTTCATTATTTTCAAGTGTTGCTTCACTGGTTACCTCCATATCAGTTTCAGCATCAACTTCCTTTCATCATAATTCATATTTTTATATAATTATTCTATATAGTTTTTCATATGTAATACGAATAAAACAGATCTAACTGATAACTCGTATAATATATAACTAATATATTTATATACTGTGTATTTATAATACATACCTTACCTGTATTACTGTCTATGTTTTAAAATACTTTGAACTCAAAAATGTCCCAAAATTATTATTGACACATAACAATTTTTTGTAATAAAGTTGAATATTTAAAAAAACTTATTATTAAAATAAAAATATATATTTTTTTATTATAAAAAAACCCAGATCAGTTGGGACGTAACATAGTTGGACCCAGTATAGATGATATCTGACAGTGATTAAAATCACTATCAAAAAAAATCCTCATTGCAAATCTGTAGATAGTGTTTAATTTTAAAAAATTGGTGGATTATTCCAAGAGCAACATGATTTCTTATTTCCTTATTTATATCCTGATTACAAGTTTTATGATTTATAAGTGTAATATATGAATATATATATAATATAAATATATAAAGGGCAATGGTGAGATTTAAAAAAAAATTTGTCGAATAAAAGAGGTAGAAATAGTATTTTTCATAAAAAAAATTATATTAAATTATTTTATAGCATTTGGTAACTATTTTCACAGTGAAGACAAAATAAAGTCCAAAATTTTTTTTTTCCATAATAAAGTACATTACATTAGCTTTAATTAAAGATATATATAAAAGTGTCAGACTTTCCGGAACACTTTCAAAAGTTAATTTTTTGTGAAAAAGTTGTCATTTTAAATCCCACCCTGTGGGCAGGTTAAGTGTCAGATTTATAAAAAAATATACCAAATGATACGTAAAGATATCATGCATTTATATTGATTTGGTCATTTTTGATAGTTATGATAGTTATAATTAAAATTTTTTTGAAAATTAGCAATTTTAAAATTGTTGAGGGTAATGTCTTCGACTAGATACAATTTGTGATTACAATTTTTGTGAAAAAAAATAATAATAATAATAATAATAAAAAACATCATAGTAAAATTAATACTTTATCAGCTTTGCATCAAGCCAAAAAAAAATTACAATGCAAAATCGAGATTATCAAAAGTTATAGGAGTTAATTAGATCTGTTCTACTGTGTGCATATATTTATAATACATACTTTATTATCTTGTAGATTATTTTCTCCACTTGTATATGAATTGCTCACTTCTGAATCACGTTGAGAAGAAGTAGGAGCTTCATACTCAGTTTCTCTTCTATTTTCTTCACGAGGCATAAATGATTTTGATCTTTTCATCTAAATAATATGCACCATTGAAATAACTTCTGTTAATTTATTTTTAAGAGAAACTTAACTTTTTATTTACTATTTATTATGTAATTTAAATAAGAATTTATAAGTAAATTTACTATGTTTAAATGGATGTATACATTGCAAAATATCTGTTACGTAAGCACTATTTTACTAAAAGGCATCTGAATACTATGAAAACAATGTGTAGCTTGTAAAAGTTGTACTAAGGAGGTGTAAATTATTATGATATATTTAATATCATTACTTATAGAATATCCAAAAAAAATCCTTTTGAATATCTAATTACATTAAAAAACATTTAAATTTAATTAACTTAAGTCTTGCTTTATAAGTAAAAATAAATAATCAAACATTAAATGTATTAATATTATAAAAAATGTATATAAAACTATTCATTAATCATTAACCTTTAAATTGTTCATTTTAAATAGTAAAATATATATGTTGACTTAAAAAAAAAATGAAAATGGTACCCTTGTGAGAGATAAAAAATAGACCAAAAAAATATTTGACCCATTATAAATCAATTTAAGTTATAAAAGTGTTTAATCTCTTTTAAACCAAGAAATATTAATTAAAATAACACATTCAAGATTATTATTTTTGGAGAAATTTAGTAGCCAATAATAAATCAAATATCTTGTTTAATCTATTAAAAATGACAATAATGCTCATTTATAAAAATTATAATAAAGATATTTTTTTTTTTAAATTCATGAATTTAGACTTATATACAGATCTATACTAATTTTCAAAAGTTAAAAATTGAAAGAAATTTTATATTAAATTACTAATTTTTCTTAGAAATATAAATATTTTTTTAGCTATAAATAGATTTATATTTTATTTTACACTATATTTATTCCAGTTTAAACACCCTGCAATTAAAATTCTTATACTAACATATGATGTAACTAATAAATCAGCTTTCCGCTTTCTCTGGCTATTATTACTATGAGTTGTAGTATCTAGAGAGGAACAACTAGGACCACTAGTTCCAGCAGTTATAACTGATGGTTCTGATTCTGTTGATGGGCCAGGTGCCTATGAACTGGCAATATTATTACTGCTGCTGCTGCTGCTTTCCATTGGCTGACTGTTCTCGTTTTGCACACTAAAAAAAAAACAATTTCTTTTAGATAGATAATAGGATAAAGTAAACATCTTCTTCTTTTTCCTCTCCCACATCCTCTACGCTCACATCAGCTGTCTTCATATCGCATTCAATAACATCTCTTCATCTCTTTTTTGGTCTTCCTCTACCTCTTCTTCCTTCAACATTCATTTCTACAACTATTCTTAAGGCTTCCGATTCTTCTCTTCTCATAACATGACCAAAGTCTATTTTTTCTCATCTTATCCACAATTGACGTACACCTATACTCCCTCTTATATGCTCATTTCTTATCCTATCTTCTCTAGTCACTTCAAACATCCACCTAAGCATTCTTATCTCTGCTACATTCATTCTCTGCTCTACTTTCTTATCAACCGCACAACAATCTGAACCATACATCATAGCTGGCCTTATTACAGTCTTATAGAATTTACCTTTCAGCCTCATTGGAATTCTTTTATCGCATAAGACAACAGATGCTTCTCTTCACATCAACCACCCGCACTTAATCCTGTGTCATACATCCTCATCAATACCACCACTCTTTTACACACTAATCTTAAATACTTGAAACTTTCCTCCTCTCCAAACACGTCCTGGACTATTGTCACTGATCTCCATATTTCACCTACCTAGTGTTCTCCTTTATCAAACTCGTACTCTATATACTCTGTTTTACTTCTACTTATTCTTAAACCCTTTTCTTCAAGAGCTGATCTCCACACCTCTAGCCTTTGATTAATTTCCTCCCTATTTTCTCCTATTAACACTAAATCGTCAGCAAACAACATGCACCTCTTCTTGTATTTCTCTAGTAATTTCATCCATCACTATAGAGAATAAGGGCTTAAATCAGAACCTTGATGCACTCCTACTCTTACCGAAAACCTTCTGTTACTCCTCCTACACTTTTTACTCTGGTACAAATGCTATCATACATATCTTCTATTATATTAATGTACCTTTTCAGGACTCCTTTTCTCATTAATGCTCACTTTAAAATGTCTCTCGGTACTTTATCATACGCTTTCTCCAAATCTATAAATACCATACACAGCTTTTTCTTCTTTTCACTAAATTTTTCTATTAGTTGCCTCACACAAAATACTGGATCCATTGTTGACTTACCAGGCATAAATCCAAACTGGTTTTTAGATACTAATGTCTCGTTTCTTATTCTCTTATCTATTACTTTTTCCCAAATTATCATACTATGACACATAAGTTTTATGTCGCTATAATTTCCACACTCCTGTATGTCACCTTTACCTTTAAATATCGACAACACAATACTATTCCTCCATTCATTTGAAATTTTCCCTTCTAATAAGATTTTATTTAAAAGTTCCTTCAACCACCTTATGCCAACACCGCCTAATATTTTCCATACTTCTACTGGCACTTCATCTGGTTCCACTGCTTTATTCTTTTTCTTATAGAACTTATCTTTCAGCCTCATTGGATTTCTTTAAATAAGTAAGAACCTAATGTAGAACCTTGGTGCACTCTTACTTACACTATAAAACCTTCTGTCACTCATTCTAAGCTTATTACCCTGGTACAAGTGCCATTATACGGATCGATAAGATATAAACATCTATTATTTAAAATTAAAAATATTAAAAATCCAACACAGGGGGGTCGCGGCACAGTGGTGACGTAGCATAGATGGATCAAGTATAATGATATCAGACAGTGATTAAAATCACTATAAAAAAAAAACGCTTTAATGCAAATTTTTAGATAGTGTTTAATTTTAAAAAATTGGTGTATTATTCCAAAAGCTACATAATCTGCTAGTTCCTTATTAATATCCTGATTAATATAAAGAATGTTGAATGAAAAAGAGATTATAAAAAAATATTATTTTTCATAAAAAAATTGTGTTGATCCATACACTTTTCAATAAGTTATAGCATTATAAAGTTAAAAATGTAAAAAATAAAATCGAGAATTTTCACACAAAAATAGCATTTGGTAACCACTTTCACCATGAAGACAAAATAAAGTCAGAAATTTTTTTTTCATATAATAAAGTACATTACATTAGCTTTATTTAAAGATATATATAAAAGTGTCAGACTCTCCGGAACACTTCCAAAAGTTAATTTTTTGTGAAAAAGTTGTAATTTTAAATCCCACCCTGTGGGCAGGTTAAGTGTAAGATTTACAAAAAAAATATACCAAATGATAGGTAAAGACATCAAGCATCTATAAAAAAAAAAAATTTACTGATCCATATATTTTCCAAAAAGTTATAGCATTATTAAGTTAAAAATATAAAAAAAAATTATTTTACAAAAATCTTAATTTGTTATTAACTTTGATGTCTATTTTCACCACGAAGACAAGTCCAGAGGTCAAATTTTTTTTTTCCATAATAAAGTACATTACATTAACTTTAATTTAAGACATATATAAAAGTGTCAGACTCTCCGGAACACTTCCAAAAGTTAAGTCGAAAAAGTTCTACTTTCTCTATGCATTTTTGTTTTGAACCCCCCCTGTATTAAGGAATATGGTCCGATTTATAAAACAAGTATGTCGAATTAAAGAGGTATATAAATATTATTTCTCATCAAAAAATTGTATTCATCCATACACTTTTCAATAAGTTATAGCATTATAAAGTTAAAAATGTAAAAAATAAAATCGAGAATTTTCACACAAAAATAGCATTTGGTAACCACTTTCACCATGAAGACAAAATAAAGTCAGAAATTTTTTTTTCATATAATAAAGTACATTACATTAGCTTTATTTAAAGATATATATAAAAGTGTCAGACTCTCCGGAACACTTCCAAAAGTTAATTTTTTGTGAAAAAGTTGTAATTTTAAATCCCACCCTGTGGGCAGGTTAAGTGTAAGATTTACAAAAAAAATATACCAAATGATAGGTAAAGACATCAAGCATCTAAAAAAAAAAAAAATTTACTGATCCATATATTTTCCAAAAAGTTATAGCATTATTAAGTTAAAAATATAAAAAAAAATTATTTTACAAAAATCTTAATTTGTTATTAACTTTGATGTCTATTTTCACCACGAAGACAAGTCCAGAGGTCAAATTTTTTTTTTCCATAATAAAGTACATTACATTAACTTTAATTTAAGACATATATAAAAGTGTCAGACTCTCCGGAACACTTCCAAAAGTTAAGTTGAAAAAGTTCTACTTTCTATATGCATTTTTCAGATTTGAACACCCTCCGTATATAAGGAAAAAATATAAAGAAAAAATTATATTGATATGTTCATTTTTGAAAAAGTTACAGCAGTTTTTAGTAAAAAAAATTGAAAAGTTTCGAAAATTAGCGATTTTTAAATTTGTTATTTTTTTGGAGGTTTTCCCCATTTACAGGGAAGGAGGGAAATTTTTTCAATTTTTTAGGGTAATGTCTTCGACTAGATACGATTTGTGATCTTTTGACGTATCGTTGAATGAAATCCGTTTGGTGAGAGCTGAGAAAAAGTGGTAACAGATACAAAAAAAAAAATAAAAAAAAAACACATCATAGTGAAACCAATACCTTCTCAGCTTCGCATCGAAGCTAAAATATGCTAGTAATACTAGTATGTGTTTAGCGCTAATAATTAAACATTGTTCCCGAAATACATATACAGTAGTATTTTTTGTGGCTTTTTAAGTTAAATATTTTATAGTTTTAAATTAATATTGAAATATATTTTTATTTCTAAAAAATATTAGCCACAAGTAACCAATTCTTATTATATAAACAACTATAACTATGCTATAGATTTAATTTATGCCATTAATTGATTTTCAAAATAAATTACCTATCTATTTGACTTTGTGATGGAGATACAGTTGATACTGATACAGTGGTTTGTTGAGATACCGTAGTTTGAACTTGCTCTCTACCTTGTGGTACTACCAGAGCAATACTTATTGCAGGGCTTGCTTGAGCAGTGGTAACACTTGGACTAGCAGCATTACCTATAACTTGTTGTAGTGGAGATATTATTGGAGGTGTTATGGTTTCATTAGAATCTGACACTGTAGCAGCAGATTCAGAGCCCTAATTAAAGAATTATATCAATTATTAAATTAAGTAGTTAATAAAAAAAAATTTTATGGAGTAGTCATAAATAGCTTCATTAATTCGTCAAGTTAATATTAAAAAGTTTTCACTAAATAATTTTTAACACACTTATATTAGTTTCACATGTATGTTGTGTGTTTGTTGTTTGTAACTTTCCATGCGCACGTGTCTACGGCTTGAGACTATACGGTTGTAACGCATTCACCCCACCCTGTTCACCAGTCGTCGACAACAATATTTCCCAACCCGAAGACACGCGCGTATCATCAATTATATATATATATATATATATATATAAATACATTTTTTTTCTTAATAAGAGCTTAGTTTCTACAATTTTTCTGGTAATTTGCTTACTTCTGCGTGTTGTATTAAAGTACTACTAGTTAAATGTCGACTTTGAGCTGTACTGTTAGCTTCTGATGAATCTAAAGCATTACCACTACTGCTAATATCAATAGATTGAGGTTGTTGTGGGTGAACTGCAATTGTTGTACTACTACTAGTTCCACTTGAACTAAATTGTCAATAATAAAAATAAATAAACTATAATATAATTATTCATTATTGATAAATAATTTTTTAAGTAAGATTTGATTTTTGTAAATTTTTCTATTCCCCTAGAGGACACCTAGTGTTACGGGTATGACGAACCTGGGGCATCGAGCTATTCTCTTCTCAAATTATGGGAAGTTGATCCTAGGGTTAACAACCCTACATCGTAAAAAAAGAAACATGTTAAGAAACCGCAAAATAGACTTTGAAATTGGATAAATGAACAACGACCAGAACTGGAAAATGGAATAAAAATGGGTACATGGAATGTTAGGACCTTAAACAAACTAGTGGAAGACATGAAAATGATGTGGGGTTTGTAGTGAGTGACGACACATTACCACAAGTAAAAGAATTCATGGCAGTAAATGACAGAATATGCTATATTTGATTCACAGGTCACATTTTTGATACAATTATTATAAACGCATGCATATGCACTAATTGAAGAGAAAGAAGAAAATCTTAAGAATGAGTTCTATGATGAACTAGAGCACATACTTGACACAACAACGAACAGCTGTATCAAAATATTAATAGGCAACTTTAATGCAAAAATAGGAAAGGATATGTACAGACATACGATTGGACCGAATAGCTTACATGACGTAAGTAATGATAATGGAACCAGGTTGATCAACTTGTGTTTAACAAAAGGGCTTTACCCTTAGTAGTACATACTTCCCAAGGAAGGACATACAAAAACAAACTTGGATAACACCTAATGGAATAACTAAAAACCAGATTGATTAGTAATGATACAGAATAAGCATAAAGGATGCATAAAAAGTGTCAGGAGCTATAGAGGTGCACACGACGACTCGGACCATTACCTTGTAATTACTAAACTTAAAGTTAGATCATCTGAAAGATGGAAAAAGGTAAAAAATAAGGAATCCGTAAAATACTGTATAGGAAAACTGTCAGAAAGAGATGTATTAGAGGAATACATCTGTAAAACACAGCAAGAACTATAAAAGACCAACAAAAATGCAGATGAAGATGTTGAACAGATATGGGATAGATTTAGAATAGCAGTAGTTAATAGTGCTAATAATTGTTTAGAAATAAAAAGAAATAGAAAAAAGAAAGGAATAGTTTAATGTTAGATGCAAGGAAGCAATAGAGAGAAAAAGCTATCAAAGACCCGAGTGACATACATATAGAAAAGTATAAAAACATTAAAAAAGAAACCAGTTAAGTAGTAAGATGTGGCACAAGATTGGCAGAAATAGAAAGATTGAGGAAATTGAAGAAAATAAAAATAACCCAAAAGTTTCTTCAGCAGACTGCCAACATTAAACTGGGATATAAACCGCAGACTAGGATTTTAAGGAATGAATTAGATGAGTTAGTGACAAAAGAGGAATCAGTAGTAGAAAAATTAAAAAAACATTTTGAATTTCTTCTTAATAAAACACCAACATCAATACACAAAGAAATAGAAATGCACAATATAGTACGGCGGAACCATATATTGAAACCCCAACAAAACAGGAAATCTATAACATCATAAAAAAAATTAAAAACAACAAATCACCTGGAAAAAACAACGTAGTAGTGGTATTACTAAAAAATGGAGGAGAAACAATTAAAAGTGAAATTTGGAAAATTTTGGAAAGAATAACGCCATACGCAGAGGACATTATAGGAAGATACCAATGTGACTATATAAAGGGGAAATCCACCATCCAACCACATATTTACCTTAAAACAAACATGAGAAATACTATAAGTTTGATAAAGACCTATATATGATATTTGTTGACACAAACAAGCTTATGATAGTGTGAATAGACAAGAACTATGGAAAGTAATGATACATTTTGAAATCCCACAAAAATATGTAAATTTAGTAAAAATGTATAATGACAAAACCAGATATACTCACATATATAAGATGTAAACGTCTAGAGTTGCTGGGACATGTATGAAAAATAAATAAAAAAACGTCCACTTGAAGACCAAGAACAAGATGGAACGACACCGTAAAAAAGGATATGAGACTGATAGATGAGTATGCAACATTAGACTGGACTTTGAACAGAGAAAAATGGAGAGGCTTACTAGTGGCAGCACAAGTCCTTAATGGACTGTTAAGCTATTGAAGAAGAAGTTTTTCTATCCTCTCTAACACAAGAAATAGCTTTTAAGAAAGGACAATAAGCAAATATAAATAAAATTGAAGTTTCATAAATAAGAATAACACAAATGTATATAATAACTATTGGAAAAGTAAAAAATTTTTAATAGAAATCAATATTTTACAGACCTTTGAATGGATGTTGAAGATGTTTGACTAGTGGGTAATACTACAATACTTCTGGATTGCATTGTCATTGGTTTTATACTTGCTAATGGAGTTTCTGTAGCAGCTGATCGCCAAGGATTAACAGTCACAGAATGGTGGGCCTTCAAACATTCACAAATAACTTCATTAATTTTTTTTTAAGTATAAAGACATTATAGATTTAAATATAATCTCAATACTAAAAAAATGTAATATTTGTCAAAAAATGGCTGAATTCAAATATTCTTACAGGTTGTGTTTTATTAACAGCTGGTCCTAAAGGTTTAATATTTGCTGTTGGTGGTTCAACTACTTGTTTTTCAGAACCTGAACTAGTAGATGGTTTTACCTGTATAAGTAAAATATAATTTTAATTAATGATTGAAACTATTAATTTAAAAATACTCATTATATTTATGAATATAATTAATTATATTATTTATAAAAATATAGGTTAATAACACTATATAAAGAAAGAAAATATGTTATTTTATTAACAACTTAGTCAAAATACATTTAACATACTTGTTGATTAGAGAATTGTCTCATTAAAGCATTTACTCTATGGTTTAATGTTTGTATATCATGAGATAAACGGTCTTTCTCAGCTGTTATTTGATCCTTTTCCAACATTAGTTTACTATTTTCAAGTTCAAGTTTTGTAATATGACTTTGATATCCTTGTATTTTGCCTCCTAATATTAATAATAAAATTGTTTACAACACAAACATAATATTAAGTATAACTAAATACTTCATATACAGTAATTGAATCAATGATTATTTCCAAACCTATTAAATACAAAATTCCACATTTTAAGAATTTAAAAAACTACAAATCCTTTTAAATTAAATAGTACTTTATATTTTTGTTTTTGTTTTATATATTTTTAGTGTAATGCTTAGTAATGGATACGTTTCATTTATTTTTTACTCTAACTATTAGTATATAAAAAAATGATATGTATTTCGTAGTTTTGCAATAAATTATCATTATTGTCATACTTTATCTTTTAAAAAATTATTACTTCATGATAAACAGGATGTTGTTAAATAATAAAAATGTTCAATAAAATATTTATTTTATTAACAATAAAAAGAAAATGTAGAACAAATATTGTGCATTTTAATAATTATTTTTGTTACAAACTAAAACCTACAGTTTTTAAAAGTTTATTATCTCATTATTTTTATCTATTATTGAGTGGTATATTTACGGAGAAATCTTTCAGGTTTGAACCCCTTCCATAGACATAAAATAATTGTTGTAGGGATAGTAAAGGGGCAAAACTCTTCACTACTCTTCATTTTAAATGGTATCTGGACCCTACCTCACATATAATTTTTAAACATGCCACTCATATATATATAGTAAAGTTTTATCTTATTTAATTAAATAATTGCACTCATCAATCAAAATAATAATTTTTATCTCAGATTGTTATAGAAATACAAGAGTATCTAAGACATGCATTTATGTAAAATTAAATTTTAAACAATTTATCTTGAAATAAGCAAAAATTTAAATTTTGAATTATGAATTTAAAACAACGCTTAGTTTTGTACAACTATGCTTGAAAAGTTGCATGAAGTTGCCAAAAACTAATTATTTAAAGATTTTCACATTTACACCATTAATATATATTATTTTCTTTATTTAAATTACTTTGTAAAAACTTCATGAAAACCTTGATAAAAAATAATTTGGAACTCATTATTTCATAAAGTTAAATCAATTGAAAAAAAATTTTTCAAAAAAGTATTCTTAACCAGAATTTAAAAACAAATATTTAATTTATAGTTTAAAAAAATCAGTTGTGAAACCTCTTTCAGCTTCATCCAGTCGGGATATCAAACCATCACGATGTTTTTTAGTTGTATCCAGTTCTTTAGAAAGATTTAACATTCTACTCCGAACTTGTTGTAAGAGTTGTTTAGCACGCATTTCTTTTTCTTGACTGTTGTTTTTAGTAGTTTCTATTTCAGATTTAGCAGTATTTAAGTTAGATTCGGCTTCAGCAACCTTTAAAAATAAATTAAGATCATTATTTATTATACAAATATAATTAATAAGAACTAAATATTTCTAACTTTATAAATATAATAAAATAATAAAAATCTTCTATTTTAGAAGTAGATATTAACCTTAGCTGTAAGTTCATTAATAATTGATTCACTTTCTTTCTTTTGTTCTCGTTTTCCTTGGTCAATGAGTTTTTCACGTTCATCAAGATCAATAGGAATTCTACTACCACCTTGTTGTAGAACATCAAATTTAGCTTGCCAAGAACTTCTCTCTGTACTTAAAGTTTTATTTAATTCTTCACTTAGTTGTTTATAACGCCTTGCTAATATTTTTACCTAATTGTTAATTTAAATACATATTTAAAAAAAAAAGATAAAAATTTAAAAAATAATTTTATTCTATGGATAATAATTTTAGTGCAAATAGTAAGCTAACTTAGGAAAAATTGTAATTTAAAGGAAGGTTTTTATTTTTTAATTCATTAGCCTGATAATGAAACTACTGGTTTTGATATTTCAATACTAGAAAACCAGACCATTATTTTCTGTATAAATTAAAAGTGTTAAATTTCAGAATTTATTTGTCAAATAAATTACTATTTAGTAAATAAAGTGCTATACAAGTTGTGTGGGTTAATAATTCATTAAAAATAAAACTTATTATTTAAATTAAAAATCATAAAATAACAATTTTTCTTTTTCTTCAATAACTCAAAATATCCCAAAGATACTTTTAATTTATACTTGATTAATAATAGATAATTTAAGTTATCCTATTAAAAGTAGGATAGCTAGACTTAAATGAAATTATAAATAATACCTTTGACATCTCTGAAGAAACATCTGCAATTTTTTGTTTGCACGCTTTAATAATATTTTTAAATGTTTCCATAATTTTTGTATTTGAAGATATTTTTGTTTTTAATTTCACCATTTCCTGCTTAATAGAATTCACTTCTTCTGAATGATCATTTTCTTGTTTTTTTAACTAAAGTATAAACACTTCCATAGTAAATTATCAAAAAATAAATAAATAATGATACTAAATGTAAGAACTACTTAAATACTTATTAGAATATGGAAGGTATGTGATTAAAATAGCCAACTTAAAAGTAACATTATTCATTACATTATTAATATACTTATATTTATATTTATAATTTTGAAAATTATCAATTATTTATACAAAATATAATATATAATAAAATATTATTTATTTATTTTGTAAATACATCTTTTGGGGACAAGTTGACAACATTGTGATAGCGTACTACACAATGTACTCCACAGACTGAGGATTATTTTTCATACGCCCTCAAAACTTGTTGCATCATTTTTAAAAACTGCTCTTTGTAAATAATAACAGCAATAAAAAGATCAATCTATAATAATACTATGTATTAAAAAAACTATTTTTAGCTTTGTTGTGTAATTGAGAAGCTATTAATTTTACTCTGCCACATCTGTTTACATCCATTCATACTGGACCGACTTTACTCAATGAACGTTAAAAGATCACAAGACATATCTAGCTGAAGCTTTCAGCACTATAATTTAAAAACATTGCCTTATACATCAGTAATATAAAAAAATATAACAGATGTCATAAAATATTCAATGTTAATATTTTTTAGTTTTTATTTTATACTAAAATAATTTTAGAAAACTATACAGATTATTGCGAAATTTTTATTGATGACACATCAAATATTTGCCATGTATACAATATGCTTTTTTAAAAATTCAAGCTAAAATTAACATACTATGGAGGCTTAGTTTTTATTGAAATAGGTAAGAACTGCCCATTCATTCATACCTATAAGTACATTGTGTGCAACTATGTAAGCTTAAAAATCATATAAATATTTATTTGTTTAATTTTTTATAATTTTCCAGAAAATCTGACCTTTATAAACATACATTAAATTTATGTTAATACAAGCAATATATTTCATGATGAAAAAAAAAATCTTGATTTATAGGAGTTCTTGTGGACTAAAGCTAAAAATTATACAATTTTATAAAAATTTGCATAACAAAGGAATACTTGTAACATTCTAAATTATTTTAAATTAAAACTTGTTTGGTGTAATATATGATTAAAAAAAAAAGTTCCAACCACTTGTTTTTATTCATACAAGAATGCTTCTCCACCACTTTACTAGATCCCTACTGTACTTTTCTCTTTTATTTATTATAAAATTTCTTTTTAAATGTTCAAATTTAAACAAAATATACTTACACGGGTAGTTTTATCACTAGCTATAATTTTTAAAAGAATTAACAAAAAGTAAATTAATATTACCAATTCTTCTAGAGACGATTTATCTGACTTCATAGATTTCAGTTGTTCAAGTGCAGTGGTCATTTTACCCTTTTCTCTCTCAAGTGTATTCAAAATTTGTTTATACTCGGTATCAGAGTGTGACCCTGTTGATCGTTCTTTCCACCTAGCAATTGTTTTTTGAGCTGACAAAATCTAGCAACAGTAAATATTATGAATAAAAAAAATAAATTTGTATATCTGGATGACCTCATCTATCAAATTCTTATTTAAAAAATATGTAATACAACTTATATATTGCATTACAATTTGTTTTTAATTTTGTAATAAAATACCATTTAATAATCTAAAACATAGTTTTTTATATATATATATATATAACATTAAGAATTTCTATTTTAATTGATTAATTAGAAAGCTAAGAAAAGAGTTTAACTACCCTAAAATATATGTATCACATTATTCATCTAGTTTTCAAGAAAGTATTTATTACTTAGAATTTTTAAATATGTATACATACTTCAGCAGTTTTCTGATCAATTAAACTTTGCATTCCAGACATATCAACTTTTAATTCAGCAAGCTCATTATTCTTTAATTCTTGTAATTCTTGTAATGCTTTTAACTGAGTTGTGATAGTTTGGTTTTCTTCTTCGAGGATTTTATTTCTTTTAACAACTTGATTGCAAAATTCAATCTAAATAACATAAAAAGTAACATAATGACTGTACTTATATTCATTTTTTTTTTTTTTTTTTGGCCTGTGAAAATGACTGATTATTTAAAATTAATAATAATAATACTTAAATTAAAAACCACTGACTACATTCAAGTAAATAATTTAATTACTAAAAAATAACTTGACTAATTTTTCAAAAAAATTCTTGTTATTTATTGGGACTTTTATTAATATCATTCATTAAACTTTTTAATTAATTTTTCAAGCAATAATATGACAATCAAATTATAAAAAAAACTATCTAACTCATTAGAGCCCATTATTTTCTTTGAAGTTTTTAATACAATAGATGTAAATTTATAATTATAACATAATATGAAACCTTTAATCACTTATTTCAATTCTCAAACTTAAATAATATGATATCTATAAAATCACGAAGTTCTTAAAATTATATTAATAAAATATAAGCATTGTCAATAAAATTTATATTAAAATGTTTTTCAAAAATTATCCAGAATATATTTTTATGAATAGTGAATATAATAAACTACCTACCTTTTCTAATATTTGAGAATGATTATAATCAATAATTGGCCCCGTAGAATGTAAGCCTTGTATTTCTTTCATTTGTGCTTGCATATCATTCATAACTTTAGTTTTATACTCCAATTCAGACTTTAATCTAAAAATAATGTTCTAACATAATTTTTTATACTTATTAACTAATTGAATATTATAAATTACCTATTACACTTAGTGACAGTTTCATTTAACTCCAAAATTGTAGAATTTTTTTCATCTTTTAGAATATTTATTAACTTTGTCATTTTAGAAAACTGTACATCACTAATTATAGATTCGGTTAAACTACAATTTAAACTTTCATCTTTGTTTTTATTGGTGTTCTATACATTTTTTTTTTAATTAAATGAATTAATGGTTTAGTGTATAGAATATTTTAGAAACATTGTAATACAAACCATATTAGATAATTCATTTGTAATCAATTTATACTGCTCAGATAAAAGATTATTTTCAAACTCCCAACGTTTCAAAGTATCTTTTAAAGTATTTATTTCATTATTTAAATCATTAAGTTGTTTTTCATGAATTTCTTTAACTTCTGTAATAGTATTTTCCATAGCAGACTTTTGATTTTTTAAATCTTCAATTTCCGCCGATTTAGTTCTATTAAATAACTCTAATGCATCTAATCTCTGAAATAATGTTATAAGTATAAAGAATGAATAATATAATATATTGATAAACATTTTATTATTAATTTATAAATGTTTACAAGTTATTATAAATATTAATTATTCTTTAAATAATTAAAAAATAATTATTACTTATTGATATTTTTCAATTTATATTAAAAAAAAATTGTAGTCATTAAAAAATTTGAAATATAAAAGTTAACAGGTTATATATAATAATTCAATTCCAAAAATTTTTCCTTGTATAAGAAAACAGTGGAATTATTTAAACCAGTATTTTAGAAATAAACTATAACACTTTAGAGAAAAAACATTTGAAGTATATTTAGAAGTTCTTTAGAATATTTTTGAAGTATAATTATATTTTAGTGCACACTCATGAGCTGCTATCTAGAGACCTGCTTATAAGAAATAAATATTGATGTTAAATAATTGGTTTTAATATATTTTTTTTAATTATATTATTGAATTTAATGTTATTAAATATTTAAAAATTAGTAGTTTTGAAGTAATTATTAAGGTATCGGGTGACAAAAAGTTAAGAAAAATGAACTATTCTTCTTATACTTCTATCATCATTTGATTCGTGAGTGAAAATTTTTCATTTAATCAACACTTTCTAAGCCAGAGATTGACAATAGGGGACCCGTGGTTCAAGTCTTCCTTATGGTAAAAAATTAGCTATGCCTAACAATACATTTTTGAAAACATAAAAGCTAATCATTCTTTTATTATTTTTTTCTTTTTTGCAACAATTATGATGATTTGTTGAAGTATTCTATGAAAAAAATTCATTTTCTATTGAAATTTGATGATAGTAATTTTAACATTATTAACTTCTCAAGTACAATTATGAATTTAAAAATATAACTACCTCTAACTTGTTTTTATAATAAGCTATTTTATGGCTTAATCCTTTTTCCATACGCTCTTTATTGTTATTTGCTGTGTTTAATTCATCTTCTAGTTTTTTAATAACTATATTTAGATTTGAAATATCTTTTGATAATTTATCATTATTTTCTTTAGTTGCTTCAAGTTCTTCCATCATTTTACAATAGCTTTTCTCATAATCTGACAATTGATTTTGTAACTTAATAATATTATTTTTTTGAAATGAGTTGAATTCACTGAGTTCTTGTCGCCTTTAAAAAAATATAAAATATAATGGAAGACATATAACTAAAAATGATTAATATAAGTTTAAATTTTTTAAGTTTGATGCGAATTTGAGAAGGTGTTAATTTTACTATAATGTGTTTTTTACGTATTTGTCATTAATTTAATTCAGTTCTCACTGGACCAATTTTTTATTTTTTTCTGTTTTATTTTAAAATAATGTTTATGTTAAGAAAATCACTCTTGATATTTTTTAATAACATAATATTTCTCAATTCATGAACTATAATAATTTTTAATCTAATTAAGAAAATGATTGGTCGACGACAACTTTCGACCCATTAATTTGGAAGTGATAACTATTTAAAATTTAAAGTAAAGGTAAAGTATGTGTTATTATTATCATTATGAAAGACTATTTCAAAAGTTGTTATTGACCAGTAATTTTCTTATTTAGATAATTATTTATTTTATTAGCTAGTTAAAATTACAATACAAAATATTGAATAATTTCATACTAAATTTCATTTTTATAGTATGTATTTATTAATTTATTGTAATTATAAATCATAAAACTTGTAATCAGAATGTAAATAAGAAAATTGAGTTGATGTTGCTTTTGGAATAATTCCTCCTAAAAATTAAACACTGTCTACAGATTTGTATTGAGGGGTTTTTAAGATAGTGATTTTAATCACTGTCAGATATTATCTACAGAGTAATTCCCTTATTATGGACCACTTAATTAATTGAAAAATTAAAATAATATTAATAATTTTTTTATTTGTTTCTTTTAGTTCAATTTTTACCCATACTTTTATTTAATGGACCTTCCTAAATTAAGGTCTTGTAAAATGTAAATAAAAATGATAATTTAAACTTTTTTTTAATTAAAAATGAACCATGCTACACTGGGTAAAAAATTTCTGATAGGGTGGATTTAAAGCTCTTAAATACTTAGCTAGAGTAACAAATATTTTTTGATTAAATTTTTTCATTATATGTGGATGTACTTAAATTCAAGAATACAATTTATCTATTGAAGTTGGGGGACATGGTGTACATTATTGTTAAGTAACCCATCTAGGAACCTATATTAACAGTGTAACTGAACATTAGTGTAAAGGCAGCAACTAAGTGGTCTACTTCACCACCACCATTTACAATAAACTCGTTATTAACACATGTTGCTAAAAAAAAGGGTAATACTAAGGTTACGTTTACTACTATGTTTACTATTACTTACGCTTTAAATAGCAATTGATCTTTTTCCATAAATTTTTTTTTGGTATTTTCTAGTTCTTTCTCTAATTTTGATGAATAGTCACTCATTTTTTTCAAATTCTCTTCTAATGATTTGTATAATTCTTTAGTAACATTCAGCTCTGATTTTAATTGATTATTTAGCTGACCTATATTTTAAACTTTATTTAATAAAAATGACATAAATTAAAAATCAATATTCAATTTTCACCTGATTCATTTAATTTTAATCGCATGTTCTTAACTTCATGCTCCAACTTGTTAACAACACTTTGGAAGTTTGTCCTTTCATCTAAGCATACACTAAATGAATTCGTTCGAGATCTGGATAATGATGCTTCTCTATGAGAACTTAGATCATCAAATAATTCTAATTTTGAAAGTAAATTATCTCGAACATTCTATAGAGAATTATTCAAAAATGTTTAATTGTTGAAGTTTGTAAAAAAAATATTGGCAAGATGAAATAAATAAGTTTTTTTTATTATTATTAAAAATAACTATAAACAGCATGTATAGCATGACTACAAGTATATCAATAATTGACAAAAGTTTCACTCTTTATTTTAAAAAATTATTTTAATTATTATTTAAATTTAAAACAAAACTCATTTAATTTTTGAAACGTACTTTAAAAATAATATCTATTATTAATATTAATCAACTGAAGCCTGAAAATTAAAATTAAAATAATCTAATGATATATTAAATAAATATTTGATTGAGATTATATAAAAATGTGATAATAAATAGTATAAGAAACTGCCAGAAAAAATATCTTATTAAATTTTTTTTTAAATATCAGTTAATACCTTTATCTTTATCCACACACTAACATATATAAATATTATTTTTTACTCTGACAAATAAAAGAAATTAAAAGATTTTTATATAATATAAAGATAAATTAATTACTTGTAATGTTACTGTTAATTGCTTATAGTCATCTTTGAATTTTCCATTATCATTATCATTTTCCATAATATAAGTCAAAGTTGAATCCCAGCTTACAATTAATGAATCTAGTTGGGATACTAAATATTTTTCAAAGTCTTTTTGCAATTCAGTTTTTTGTCTTAATTCACGTGAATAATTTAAATTGGAAACATAGAGACCATCATTTTCTTTTTTAATACTGTTATACTCAGTTTTCATTTTTTCTAAATCAAGTTTTAATTCGTGGTTTTTCTAAAAATATAAATATTAAGATAAATAATAGTATTTCATAAATTTTCATTACAATAATCTAATTATGACAATTTTTCAAAAAAATAAAATAAACATACGTGTTCTAGTGATATTATAGTATTTTGTAATGCATCTACTTTTTTAGCATATTCAGAATTTCTAATATTAGATGCTTTAATTTTTTTTAATAATTCATCAATTTGTTGATTTAACCCTTGAACATGTTCTTCCAAAAGTGAATAAGCATTATTATTAGTATCAAGTTTTTCATTTAGTTGTTTAATTGTCAAATTTGCTAATGATAACTGATTTTCTACATCTTCCAAACTATTTTTTAATTTTAAATTATCTCCTAAATTATTTTCTAAATTTTTATCCATCTAATAAACAAAATTATAATAGCAATAATAGTATAAAAAATTAAGTATGAAAATCTAGACATTCAACTTACATTATTACAATCTTGATTTTCCTGGGCATCAGGTAATATATTTTTGAAGTTAGATTTTAAGTCAAGAGATTGCGATTTTAATAATTTTTCCTGAAATAGAGCATAAATATTATTTAGATTAGTCCACAATGTTTTAGCAAATCCAATAATTTATAATCTACTAAATATTTTACATTACTTTTTTTAAAAATAATTTATGCATTTTTTGACTATATTAAAATTATATTTTGTATTATTTACTCTAATAATACAAAAAAAAATGTTATTCTTTTAAATTTGAAAATAGCTGTTTTTTTTTAAATTGACCCTATTGTAAAATTTACATACATATACGAATAAAAGTTAATAAATACAATAATATTGAATTTTAAAATCTTTATTTAAATCTATAATTATCATTGTATGTCTGAGCAGTGGGAAAGTTTATTTTATTTACACACTTCAACGTACATTATTAATTGACCACTATCACTAATGTTTATCTTAGAATTTAGATATTATTTTTGTGCTTATTTACCCCTAGCTACTGTCATTAATGTCTTTAAAAAATTATTATCTAGTCATTAAAATAACAATTGTAGTACCCCATTATCAAACACAGAAATATTTGTTTTAATTAGTCACTACGTTATTCTATTTTTGGCTCTCTCTTTTCACTATGTGCAGTAGTATGTACCAATCTATTTGACTTTTATATAGAAGTTTCTGAAGTTTAGGCAAATAAATTTACGCATTATACATTTACATATTATAATTTACATCTATAACCTATTTAAATAACTTCAGCTAATGTTATTATTTATTTATAATTATTATGGATAGTCAAAATGTACAACTAATACAGTCTGCATCAGATAAATTGGCATGATCAGATGATTGGAGTTGCGATTTAGAAAAACCAGGTGCCAAAACACAAAATATATACTATATATTTTAATATAGTGATACAGTCAAATTATAAATGAGTTGTATTTGTATAACATTAAATTATAATTAAATAAACTTTTTTTGAACAAAAAAAAAAGAAGTCTGGAATTGTTTTTCTAAAGGATAAGGTAAATGCTTTGTTAGATCTAGGATACAGTCATGTGGGTCCCTAGATTCTATTATTCCCATACCAGTCAGATCATGCCTATTCACCCCAACCTGTGTTTCATACCTACTATATGTATGAAAATACTTATAACTTAATAAGTATTTGTCTTAAAATTGTTTTTAATCCATTAAAATTGTTTTTAAGAAAAGTGTTATTTTAGAATTAAAAGAAGAAGTTTTTTTTAGACTTTGATATGGATTCAATTATTCTAGTTATTTATCGCAAAATAAAAAAATATCTGTATAATTATGTGCAGATTTTTTATACAATTGAGTAAAAAATGTGCATTGTTTATACTTACATCAAGTTGAACATTGATTTTAATTTGATCTTCTAATTTATTTTCTAATTTTTTTATTTTATCCTAAACAAATAAAGACATATTTAATAAAGAGTTAAGTTTTTAAAAATTTAATCTAAAAAAAATATAATACTCTTAAATCTGAAATCAGCTTTACTTCTTGTTCATCATTGGCATTTGATAAAGATCTAAGTGCTTCTAAAAGTTTTTTATTTTGATTTTGCAAGGATTGAATATTTTCAAATGTAACATAGTTTTTCGATATTAACTGCAACATGTTTATTGTTATAATAATTACATTTATTATATAATACCTGAAGTAAACAAAACTGTGCAAGGGTATTAATTTTTATTTATTAAGCCTTAATATCAAATTTCTTGATAAGTTTTTTGACTTACTAATAATAAATCAGATTTTTTTTTAATTATTAAGATAGTTAAATAAAGATATATTAATGATGATTTTTTTAAAATTATAAGCAAATTCAAAACTTGAAATGATGTGTTAAGATTTTATCAAAAAACCTCTCATACTAAATTAATTAAAAACTATTGTAGTAAAAAATCATATATAATTTCATAACATAACCCCTATATCTAAATTATAGATTTAAATTCATTTAAAACAGAAAAAAATACACAATTTAATACAATGCTTGGGTTAATTTTCATCTTTCAACCCTATTCTGACTTAAATGTCTCGCTGAAAAATGACACTTTTTTTAGTTAATTTTCATTGATATTCATGATAGAATAATGCTGTCATATTAGAACAATGTTACTTAAAAATTCATGTAATCACAGATATCTATCATCATAATTGTTTAAGATATAGGCTACAATTGAACACAAATTATATTTGATTTTTAATTTTCTTAACTAACGAATGTCCGAATAATCAAATCAAAAAAGTTAACTTATACTTCTTTCTTTTATTATTAAATTCATACTTAAATTTGAATAGATGTTTGCTATAAAGGTAATGGAATATACAACTAATTTATAACTTATTATAATTTCTCCATACTCCATACTAAATTATTGAATATTAATTTCATACTAACTAATTTCATTTTTACAGTATGTATTTATTCATTTATTGTAATTATAAAACTTGTAATTAGGATGTAAATAAGAAAATATGAGTTTATGTTTACTTGAATAAGTCAATAATTCCTTCTAAAAATTAAACACTATCTATAGATATGCATTGAGGTGTTTTTAATCACTATCAGATATCTATTCATGAAAAAAAACATGATTATTTTAGTTGTAAAAATATAATTTATACTTTATAATATTGCTATATTATACGAAATAGGTTTTAAACATATAGCACTTCCAAAGTCTTAAATTATTCAGCACAATATATTTATTATTGTTTGACTTCACTACATCAAAGATTGTTTGGTTTTATTCATAGCGCACATTCACAATATTTTCTGTAATATCATTTTCTATAATTTTAATATTATTTTAGTTTTGTGCCTTTTTATTTGATTGTGATGATACTTTTTTAAATTCCTACAGAATACCAGTAAACCCTATTTGACATTTTATAATCAGTTTTTAATTGTTAAATTGTGTTACATAAATGTACTATAAAAAAATATGCATAATCTAGAAAATTTCATTATTTTAGCACACATTTTGTTACTTTTTAGAATTTAAAGTACCAAGTCATGTTTATAAATATATATATTTAAAATTATTCTTTACCCTTATACAATTCTTAATATAATTGGTAACTCTAAAGCTTATATGAACTAAGAATAATAAGTAAAGTAACTTTTTAGATAACTCTCATTGTAGAGATATTACATATAAAGTTTTACGGGTCTATAATATTAACTAGATATTATCTGCTTAAAATAATATAATTTCTTAAGTACAATTACAATAATTTATATTATTGTAAATTATTATTGTATTAAAATCATATTCCTTATTTAGTTAACAAATATATTTAAATTAATCTTACCGATTGTGGGCTCATATCAGTGCCAATGTTACGATTTTCATGACGTTCTTGACATTGTTTGTTACGCAATAAGAAACAAATCTAAAATTAAAAATTTTTTTTTTTAATTTTTGCTCCACATCATTAAATATAAAGCTAGTATTAATCTTAGAAGGGGTCCAATACTCCCATCAACTATTAACAGAATGTCTAAAACTAATAACTACAATGACTTTTACTTGTTTGCTTAGATCATCTTCAGTGGATTGAAGTCTTTTATTTTCATTTAATAACTGTTTATAATCTTCCTCGGCAGATTTTAATTTAGAAGTTATGTTATCCAATTCTGATTCAAGTTTGATAACAGTTTCACATAACGTTTTTACTTTATTATTAGATTCTTGCAAATCTTTTTCTAATTTATCTACATCAGGAGCTTCATCTAATATTTGCTATAATATGACATAAATTAATTATTAATTTTTATTTTGAATATTTTCATCTTTATATTATTTAAGTTAATATTTTTTATTTTTATTATAAAAAAAAAAGAAAAAAAGTTATTTTCTTTAAATACACTAATGAGAAAAATCAGATGCTTATTAGTTAATCCATTTATTTTATAAAATTTTAAAAATACTTGTTTTAAGAGCTTGAAGTTGAAATCACTAAGTTCTAGTTTTTCAATAGTATCTTGTAACTGTTTATATGTTTCTTTGTATATAGCATACACATCGGTAATTGTAGTACCCTTTTTAATAATGAAATTTGTATTATCTGAATGAACTAAAATAAAATAGATTAACACAATCAATGATTTAATTTTTTTGGTTCATATAAAGAACAACATTTTTAAAAAAATGTACAAAATATTTTAAATATAACATGTATGATATTTAGTAGGTAAGAAAAGGGGTTTTTATTGTTTCCATTGTTTATACCAGTTGACTGTTTTTTTGCTTATTGAATACCAATATATCTCTTAATATATTTATGAGACAAATTTTAGAAAAAATTTGAATAAATGAAAAAAAACCCAGCACAGGGGGGTCGCGGCACAGTGGTGACGTGGCATAGTTGGATCAAGTATAATGATATCTGACAGTGATTAAAATCACTATCAAAAAAAAACGCTTCGATGCAAATCTTTAGATAGTGTTTAATTTTAAAAAATTGGTGGATTATTCCAAAAGCTTCATAAACTGCTAGTTCCTTATTAATATCCTGATTAAGACAAAGTATGTCGAATGAAAAAGGGATTATTAAAAAATAGTATTTCCCATAAAAAAATTATATTGATCAATACACTTTTCAATAAGTTATAGCATTATAATGTTAAAAATGTAAAAAATAAAATTGAGAATTTTCACACAATAATAGCATTTGGTAGCCATTTTCACCTTGAAGATAAAATAAAGTCCGAAATTTTTTTTTTCCATGATAAAGTATATTACATTAGCTTTAATTTAAGATATATATAAAAGTGTCAGACTTTCCGGAACACTTTCAAAATTTAAGTTGAAAAAGTCAATTTTTTGTGAAAAAGTTGT